GAACTGAAACATGGGTTGAGACCAGGAACGAAACTCAAATTAGACTGAACGTGTGGACTAGTGGTTAGTGCACGTGCCTATTCATAACAGAAGAGTCACAATGCTGAAAAAAAACTAAATTTAAGTAAATAAAACAGGAATGATCTGGTTTGAAATCTGAACAAATGTCTCTTGATGGCAAATGATGTGCTCTGGATGCGATCATGTCAAGCTGCTCACAGATGACTGACTCACCAGGTTTTATTTACTATTATTAGGCCTAGAGGACATTTGATGAAACATGCTGAAAACAGTACATGTCTAAATATGTCCATTATGTACAGATATCATAACAGTTATTACAGTCAGAATTTTAAAAGGAATATATAATGACAATTAAAATTATTTTCATTATTATTATTTACTTGATTTTATTTGATGTATATATATAAATAAATATAATAAATCATATTTAAATAATATGAATAAAATAAAAAATGACAAATAAAAATAGGTTATATTATATTTTGTTGATTTTTTTATTCAGATTATTATTTATATTAAATAAAAAATTAGATTTTATATATATATAACCACATTTTTTATTTAAAATAAATATATATAACTTGTATTTGTGTGATTATATATAATTTATTCAATGACTTAGTACTTATTACTATTTTATGTAATATAAATATTGTATTTAATTATTTAATAATTTATTTAAATAAATTGTATTATTATTTTATTATTATTTATTATTAATTTATTTAATTATTAATTTATAAGTTATAATTTATATGGAATTTTATATATATAATTGTATTAATAATCGCATTCACTCGTACAATAATTGTTTGCATATATATAGGCTATATATATATAATATATACATATAAATATATATAATTTATATTTATATTATTGTATATTATTAATCTAATACTTTTATATTTTATTTAATATAAATATTTTATAAATATTTAAATGTTTTAATTTATTAATAATAAATCATTTCTTTAATTTTCCTGTTCATTTATATTATTAGTTTATAAATTATGAGTTATATATATATAATTGTATGTATATAATTAATTTCATATATATATATATATATATATATATATATATATAATTATTATTATTATGTAAATATTCAAATATATAAAAAAATAGGCATCCAAACTGAATAACAGTGACAAACCATTGATTTAACTGCAGCTTAAGAGTCAGTAAACATCAGATTTATCTCAAAGGAATGTGTATTTAGCGTCTGGTATTCACTTTGAACTGTATTCCCTTCACTAAACAACCAATGTGGCCATTTAACCGATGTTCAGTTAGTCTTTAGTCTGCTACCATGTACATTTCACATGCCAAAGTTCGCCAACATCTTGTTTCGAAAATACATCAATGCTTAAGACTAACTGACACTGGATTTCAGTGGATTGTGGGAACTGGATAAACGGTGACCCGAGTACGGTAACCTGGCTTCAGGAATTTACCCTTTGGAGGTGTGACATTAACAGCCGAAAGTTACTTTGTCAAATCCTCAGGACTGAAGCCCATGTGTGCAAGAAGAAGCAGCGCTGATACATTTCTGCCCCTCTCACCCTTTGCCTTTTTCTCAGGGTGAATACAGCTCTCAGGAGAGACTAAGCTGGCTAAAACAGTGCCTGTGTCCCTGTGTCTTACCCTGGAGAACTGACTGCCTGGAGGACGGTTGATCTTTTATTCCACCATCAATACTTTAGAAAAAAAAGTATATGAATCGTTCGTGTAAAAGAGAACATTTTAATCAATGTTCAGATTTCACTACTCAATTTTACAATACCATGCTATATGACAAATGCATTTTAAAGGCCATGCAGTCTCTCAATTAGTTCATTAAAAAATAAAAATGTATTTTTTTTAATAAAAGTGTTATTATTCTCAATTTAGCCTATTATTAATATTATTATTTGAAACATCAAACACACTTTAACCCCATTTAATACCTAGTCAACATAAACAGTATAATAGGCTAAACAATGCAACCTTAAACACATTAACACTCATGGATATCAGTCATTCGCCAACAAAAATATGAAATGACGTCTATGATAACTTAAAACGACTCAAACCCCGGTGATTTTCAACTCCTCTCAGCCTCTTTTCAGCACATCGGTTTGGACTGACAGAAGCTGATCTACGGTCAGATGTGTGTGTGAAAAGCCCCCGAGGGAAGCTGATCATTACCAGCGCCACATTGTTTATGAGATCAGAATAAAATTGAACGGTTCCTGCGGGAAATTTCCTGTGGTTTCTCAAAAACATTGCCCCGTTATGAGTCACGCGTACTGAGCATCCAATCACGGCACAGATTCAACAGATCATATCAGTTTTACAACCACAACACAAACACACACACACACACACAGATTTGACCTTGGGTGTTTATCAGATGTGCTTCCGATAACAATGCGAACGCCACCGAGTGCTGCCCGCGCTACTCAGAGTTGTGTGTCGTCAGTGTGTCGTTAGAGAGGTAGACGCATGCGTGCTCAGTCATCGACGCACAAAAGCATGACAATTGTGGAATGCTGGCACACAGACACACAATAAATCCGAGTGTGGGGCGGATCCTTACTTGCACGCGTAGCATAGGCTACTTGGCAAACATCAGAAGGGTATTGACGGTTAATCCCGCGGATATTAATAGCGTGTTGTGTGATGATGCACTACACCTAACAACACAACTTTGGACCCACTTAACAACGAGGTTTCCATGAATATGAAAGTTTTCCTTTCATAGTTTTCCTGTTTCTCCGGTTGCCAGGGTGGTTCAGGCATACCGGTGGTGCATGTTACCGGAACTTATTTATTAGGATCCTCCTTATCACTTCTGCTTAAGTCTTAATCTTGATGACGTATAACCATGACAAAGCTCAGTTTTGTGTGTCACTGCTTATGTCCAACTCTAGTTCCAGTGTATGAAAAGCCACAATACAACTTCTTTTCACTTCTTTTCATGAGCCCAAAAACTTTATTTACCTCATTAAACTTTTTTTTATTTTTTTTATTGCCAATGTCAATAGGATAGTTTATCCTACAATTATTTTATATATAATACCTTTTATTTAATGAGATTTTTTTTTTTTTTTTTTGAAAAATGTAAAATGAGGTGCTTCTCTTGATTAAAGAATATTGTGATACATTCAACCAGATCTCGTGAGAAAAACACTATAGTTAAGTAATTACTAGTTAAGTGGTGTCAATTTCGTATAATTTCGAACTTTCAATTTTTTCAATTTTACTTTTTGGAAAAATTTTAATTATGGTGAAAACCTGATTCTCTTGTTTAAATCATTTTGTAATATATTCAATCATATCCCATGAGAAAACAACTATTTTTGTTAAGGACTGTCGATTTCGTTTGAATTTTGTATGAATTCGAACTTTCATTTTTTTTGGGGGGGGGGGGGGGGGGAATTAAAAAACGGTGAAAACATGTTTCTCTTGATTAAAGAATGTTGCGATAAATTCAACCAGATCTCATGATAAAACAACCATTTTAGTTACGAAGTGTCGATTTCATATGAATTTGTACTTTTATTTTTCAATTTTTCTTTTTTAGGAAAATTGAAAACCTGATTCTCTTGATAAAAGAATGTTGCGATAAATTCAACCAGATCTCATGATGATAAAACAACCATTTTAGTTGCGAAGTGTCGATTTCATATAAATTTGAACTTTCATTTTTCAATTTTTCTTTTTTAGGAAAACTGAAAACCTGAATCTCTTTATAAAAGAATGTTGCGATAAATTCAACCAGATCTCATGAGAAAACAACTATTTTAGCTAAGAAGTGTCGATTTCGTATGCATTGCGTATGAATCTGAACTTTCCATTTTTCTTTTTGGGAAAATTGAAAATTAGCCTAAATGAAAATCTAATTCTCTTGATAAAAGAATGTTATTATAAATTCAAACAGATCTCACGAGAAAACTATTTTTGTTAAGATGTGGCGATTTCGTATGAATTCAAACTTTCATTTTTTTCAATTTTTCTTTTTAAGAACATTGAAAATGAGATGAAAACCTGATTTCCAAAATTTTTCATTTTGGAAAAATTGAAAATACGGCGAAAACCTGATTCTCTGTTCCGAAAAAATCAACCAGATCTCATGGGAAAACAACTATTTCAGTTAGAGGTAGCGATTTTCTTTTAATTCCTACTATGTAATTTGAGATAAGATACGATCACATTTACATCTGCAAATTTTTACGAGCGAAATCCAGTCATTTTAAAATGAATCAACGCGAATGGGAATTTTGCGTGAGGGCGAAAGATTTTAAGATTTAAGGGATTCCAGTTAGTCATGCGGATTCACTGTTAACCAACAGAAAGCTTGTTTGTTTGAAAGTGACTTCTTCTTGTGAATTGTGCTGCATAGTGTGCTTTGCTACAATATTGACAACAGAAAATTCACCTTTTTGCCCCTGAAATTTCAATAATGTGACTGCAACTTTAGGGGCTCTGGCAATGGTGTGGGTCCAAATCTTGATCTTGTCCTAACTCCAACGACCTCTACCTGTAACTGTTGAAAGATCCTCCAAGCCCTGGCTGTCCACAGGCACTATAACACTTGTTCCTCGGGACCTGTCATGTGACAAAGGTCAGCACTTGAACTATTGACTGCGCTGAACCACCTCACTATGCGCTGCCTGTAATGAGAGCCAATCGTCTGTCCTACACAACAGTGAATGGAGACTATTGACAATCCCATGACAATCCTAAAACAATAAGTGAAGGATGCACCAAAAAAAAAAAAAAAAATCAGCCCTGAAACGAGACAAAATCACACAAGACACTTTTTTTTTGTTTTCAAAACAGCTGGAGCGGAGCGCAACTCAATGGGAACCAATGGTAACCAAGACGCGTTTGTAAAAAGTTGTTTTGAAAAGATGCCCGCGTAAAAACGCAAAACTCCTGGCGCAAACTGGGTGACGCATAGACCAAAAGAATGAAAACATAAATACCTTCCAACCGGCGGAGCTGTTACTATCCCCCTTGTCCTTAAAATAAGGGACGCTTTTCACCATCCAGTCGTAGATCTGAGACAAGGTGAGCCGTTTTTCGGGGGAGCTCTCGATGGCTTTGGTGATCAGGTCCGCGTATGACATATTCCCCCAGGCGTTGCGTCGGGACGAGCTGCTCTTGCGCTGCGCGGCAGCGGCTGCGGCCACCGGAGAGGAGAGCACGGGCACCTGTTGCTGGTGACTCGGGATCTGCTGCTGCTGCTGCTGCTGCTGATGGATGCAGTTCTCCTGGCACTGGAAGTCGCCGCACAGCATGAGAGGCTTCTGATCGGGGTAGTCCTCATTCTCCTCCAGCAGACTGAGGTTGTTGATGAAGTCCGCGTTGCTGCAGGGCTCCTGCTTGACGGACGGGGCCGGGGACGAGGTGTTGGAGTCCGCGGCAGCCGCGTTAGGGAACTCCGGTCGCGGGAGCGGCCAAGTGCAGGAGCGGGGTCGGGAGAGTGGCTCGAAGTCCGGGTCGATCTCGACCATCTGGTTTTGGGCTGCGTCAGCCATGGTACCAGCAATACTGTTTGCCTCTTAAAATGTCACATATGATTGTCAAAAAGAAAAGAAAAAAAATGACGTGAAACGCGAAACAATGACAGAAAGGAAATTAGTTCCTACTTTAAGCTGACTTAGTCACATTGGAAACGACGGAAAGGTCACAGTGCGGGTAGAACGGCATCAGATTGATGTTTGTTGTGAAGTTTTGTAATCCAGTCCAGTCCAGTGGTGTGTGATAGTCCTCTTGCTGTCGCTTGTTGAATGTCTGTGTACTAAAACTCTAAGTGCGCTTTACTGGAACTCACTATCATATGTCACCTGACGCCGCCCCCGTGTACGATTGACAAGCGCCGAGAGCCAATCACAGGCGCGCTTTTGAAAGCGAAACAAGCCGTGTTTTCGTCCTCTTGAAAACTAGTAAACAAACTTTCACGGAGTTTGGATATTATGAAAATACTCACTCGTTTTGACCGCATGGCTTCCAGCTTTGTATTGCTTGGATAACAGAAACGCAGTTCTTTTTGTTTGTTTAATTATATTGTAACGAAACAGTAAAGCTTGTTATATAACATGCAAATGATTCTGGAAACAGCAGATCTCATAAACCGTAGTGTTTACCTCTTTACATTTTTAACTATTTTGTACATAAGGAGAAACCAATGAGGACAATGAATATAGGCCTATTTCTATTTATCTCTCATTTATTTTGGTGGATTTATTATAAATACAACTATTTAGGCTACATTTATTAGCAATATAGCCTGCTCTTTCATAAATATGCAAAACCCATGCTACGTTGTGTAGTAAAATACATGCTTGAATAAATATATGCAGTTGTGTTATTTAGTTTATTGATTATTAAATGAAAATCTGAAATGGAAATTACATCTGGAATAGCCTTATTGTATATGATGTAATATCATATCTACAAATAATTCTATTGATTTGATTAGTTTGTCCAGTATAAAACTAATATGTGACAGGGGTTTTTTTTTTACCTCTTAATCTGAACAAAGTTTGTGCAGATGCTTAGATAACTGGCATAAACTCAAGGCTATCCTGCCATCTAGTGGATAAAATCCCTCACTGTCGCTGCTCGAATATCGCGTTTGATGAAATTACCTTGTGTCACAATCTTGATTATGAGGCAACAACTTCTGAATCTGCAGGATATGACAGAAACACGAAAGACCGCCTTGTCTTATTTCCAGGAAGCCCCCGTATCAAAACACACAGAGAGACCCTGCCCTGCCATGTACACACCTGTGGCGGTGTGTGATCGAGGAAGTGTGGGTGTTTGCAGGCTTCAGGTGTGTTTTTGCGTCAGTATAGAATACTACTTTCACAGGACGCTTCGTTCCGATGCTCTTGCACCAATAGTCTGTAGAAGTGTCTGGGTCCTCGAGAAAGGGCGGGTGAGTGTGAGAATACATGGACTGTGTGATCATGCAGAACATATGTAAGATTGCAACAGCTGAGTTAAATGTTGCTGAGACATAATGATCTTGGCATGTGAATTTTGGCACATGATGAGGAGGTTGAGATGGTAGTATTGGGTTCAAGGGGGGGATTCCCTCTGAATCTAGTTTGAAGATTTAGACTAGCTGGCTATTAATAGAGATCTCACAGGTCAGATATAAATATCATTCTCTTACCGAGGCACTAAACGCAATGTTGTGTGATGTATAATGTTTCTGTTTCTCTTTACATGTGTATGTTTAATCATTCTCAAACTGTACTAATTCACATATACCGTTACAATGTATCGTATTTCCACAGACGCCCGCTCATTAAAAAAGTGTCCAGAATTTGATACTGTTATGGATAAATTGTCTTTACCTGCTGTACAGATTCGATCACAAACTCAGCACGCAATAAAGAGCTGCTTATTCCCAACAGGGGTTGACATGGGTTTGTTTGTAATGAGCATTTGCCCTGTTCTTTAATTTTTTAACTGTATAAATTATAGTGTAAAAAAAATACTATATACACTATAAAAAATAAATGATGTTTTATTAACAAAGTTCGGGAGGAGCACGTTCAGATAATTAAACCTAATTAAACACACGTGGAGCACATTCAGATAATCAAACCTAATTAGACAAGAGTGGTGCTTAATCAACGAGTTAAGCGCTGTGTATATATACAGCAAACTAACCTCCGTTCATTGACAGTTTAACAGCATCCCTCCACCACCCCATCTCCTCACTTATAGTCCTAAAACTCTTACAACAACGGGGGGAGTACTCTGGGTTCGGGCAAAATTCCGAGCTCGGAGCCCTCCCCCCGGACAGCACGCCAAATACGCATAATCTTTACTCTGTTTAATTGATGTAAGTGTGAACTCGTGAAAAATCTTTTAAAACACGCCACGGTCAATGACTGTCAGCTATGGCTGCCAAACAAACACTGTTAAAAAAAGTAAAATATCCTAATTTAAATTAAGAGCAAAAAACTTTTACATAAATTTTCCTCAAATGTTTTACAGAAAAACACTGTTATTTTACAGCTATTATCTGAATTATTACGATCAAACACCTTAACTGTAGAAAACAATCCCATAAAAACAGTTAATGACTGTCAGCAATGGCTGCTATACAAAAACCATAAAATGTATGTAAAATATCCTAATTTAAATAAGTGCAAACGATTTTACAGAAATCTTCATTAAGCTTTTTAACAGAAACACAGTTATTTCACATATATTTCCTGATTTAAAAAAAAAACATGCAGTTAAATACATGCATGATTTACTGTGACTATACGTCACTGGATCAGCAACTACACAGTTACTGTCTGTTAAATAAAGCAACATGCAGCATTTCATAAGTGTTTCTCTGCTCAACCTGGACTGATACAGAGTTACTGTCTGTTTTATAAAGCAACATGCAGCATATCATCAGTGTTTCTCTGCTCATCCTGGAGTGAAGCACAGGCTCTACAGTTCAACACAATGGTGACACACAAAACAGACAATACAGAAACACTTTACATCCCAACAGAACATTAAACACTAACAGATCTCTCAAGATCTCTGCATCCTCACTTATTACAATCCAGACTTTATTTCTCTCATACTAATATTCTTATTGAGAATTAACAGAGGTTTAGAAGTTGATGTTTGATTGAAAATAATAAAGTTTGATGTCACCATTATGGGGATCAGTGTTTGCTTTGGTTGGGCTCTTGAGCCTTTAGTTTTAACATTACTTTTTCTCTGGCTGCTTTAACTGTGTGTCTTTGATACATATTTGTCATGGTAGGAATCCAAGAGAAATTCAGATCAGATGAAGTTGGTCACTTTTTGGTGATAACAGTCATCATAGTTGCCTGCTTTATCGAGACCACCTGAAGTGTAATATCTGATTAAGTTATTAAATAGTAGTTGTTAAATATTGCATCCCAATACTGCTATAGAACATACTGCAGTGCTGTGATACTGAGATTTTATGAAGTCATTATACAGAATTTTTTTGACAGGATCATACAGACATCAAGAATCAGAGTCTGAATCGCAACAATGGTGACAATGAAAAAACTATAAAGTCACAAAAAGGCTTTGTTGATTGTCACCATTGTTGAGATTCATATGTTGATCCTTGATGTCTCTATATTCCTAAAAAAAAGAAACCAGCTCAAAACATTTTCTTTAAAATAAATATTTTTTAAATTTCAGATTGTTATAATACTGATGCCTCATTATTTCAAGGGTCATGTGAAAAATTATGACATTTATCATAGACTTTATATAAAACAACAATCCATCTGAATATAATGTAATCTAAGCTAATATATTCAGAGATTTGACTGTCATATCAGTGAATCAGTTCACCATATGATGACTACAACATCATCAATAAATGACCCTCATCATCTGATATTTTCTCCTGTATTTATTGCTATAACAAATGTGAATCAAAACACAGTTAAAGCACCCAGAGGAAAGCTAATGTTAAAAACTCAGGGGTCATGAGCCCAACTAAAGCAAACACTGATCTCAATCATGGTGACATGGTTAAAGATTTTTGCACTTTATTTAAATTAGCATATTTCACTTTAATTTTATGGTTTTTATTTGGCAGCCGTAGCCGTAGTGAGTTGGGCTCATGACCCTTGAAGTTTTAACAATAACATTTTTCTGGCTGCTTTAACTGTGTATTTGATACACATTTGTTATGGCAATAAATGCAGGAGAAAATCTCATCAGATGATGTTGGTCATTTATTGATGATGTTATAGTCATCATATGGTGTCCTGATTCACTGATATGACAGTCAAATCTCTGAGTATATATTAGCTGAAATTACATTATAAATAAAAGGACTTTAGTTTCATACAAAGTCTTTGATTAATGTAATAATTTTTCACATGACCCTTGAAATAATGAGGCATCAGTATTATAACAATCTGATATGAAAAAAAATATTAATGATAAAGAAAATGTTTTGAGCTGGTCTATTTATTTAGGAGTATAGAGACATCAAGAATCAACATATGAATCTCAACAATGGTGGCAATAAACAAAGCCTTTTTTAACTTTATAGTAGTTCAGAGTTGATCAGAATTGTTTTCATTGTCACCATTGTTGCGATTCATATGCTGATTCTTGATGTCTGAGTGATCCTTCAAAAAAAATTCTGTATAATGACTAAATAAAATCTGAGTATCACAGCACGGCAGAACCTCCTATAGCAGCATTGGCATGCAAAATTAACAACTAATATATACCGACTTAATCTTCTTAATTACACTTCAGGCGGTATAAATAAAACAGGCACCTAGATGATGACTTTTATCACTATTAAGTGATCTGAGTTTTTCTTGGATTCCTACTATAACAAATATGTATCAGAGACACACAGTTAAAGCAGCCAGAGAAAAAGTAATGTAAAAACTAAAGGCTCAAGAGCCCAACTAAATCAAACACTGATGATCACCATAATGGTAACATCAAACTTTATTATTTTCAATAAAACATCAACTTCTACACCTCTGTTAATTCTCAATAAGAATGTTAGTATGAGATAAATAAAGTCTGGATTGTAATAAGTGAGGATGCAGAGATCTTGAGAGATGTGTTTGTGTTTAATGTTCTGTTGGGATGATGTTGGGATGATTTAAAGTGTTTCTGTATGGTCTGTTTTGTGTGTCACCATTGTGTTGAACTGTAGAGCCTGTGTTTCAGTCCAGGATGAGTAGAGAAACACTGATGAAATGCTGCATGTTGCTTTATTTAACAGACAGTAACTGTGTTTGCCGATGCAGTGACGTATAGTTACAGTAAATCATGCATGTAGTCAACTACATGTTTTTTAGTAAATATGTGTGTAATAAATAATGAAGATTTCTGCAATAGTCTTTTGCACTTATTTAAAATATAAGATATTTTCCATTCATTTTATGGTTTTTGCATGGCAGCCATAGCTGACAGTCATTGACTGTTTTTTATGGGATTGTTTTTACAGTTAGGGTGTTCGATCGTAATAATCCAGATAATAGCTGTAAAATAACAGTGTTTTTCTGTAAAACATTTAAGGAAAATATCTGTAAAAGTTTTTTGCACTTAATTTAAATTAGGATATTTTACTTTATTTTTATGGTTTTTGTTTGGCAGCCGTAGCTGCCAGTCATTTGACCCTTTTTTTTTTACGATTTTATTTTTTACAGTGTATGATGCACACACACACACACACTGTATGTATATTTATTTATGCTATAAATTGTGTGTAATAGTTTAGCTAAATGTATAGGCTACATTTGTTTCTGTATTGATGTGCTTAGTTGAAAGACGGCATACGTGTATGTTAATGAGGATGAATCTTGAGTAAAACTTTTTTTCTGCACTTTTCCTACACAGGAAGTGATGCAATATTGCAGAAGTTAACCATGGCTCCACATCCTGTCACTCAAGCCGTCATTGATCTGTCAGCTGGAGCATGTGGTAACAGCCTTTATTTATCATTTCCTATGTCTACATTAACCATTAACCAATAAGACAATATACCAGGATTAGATTTAAAAATCCCAATTTACATCAGAGCCATTTTGACAGGCTGCCACGATACAGTGTATTTTCCTATTGTCTGGATTGCTCAAATTTAGCATGTTGATGGGAAATTTTGTAAATGTAAGGAACAAGATATAATAATCAGTTATTTAAAAACATTGAAGCATGTTCTGTTTCCTCTCTTGTTTTTTTTGTAAGGTGGGGTTGCGTGTGTGTTTAGTGGGCAGCCCTTCGATACAGCCAAGGTGAAGATGCAGACTTTCCCCGGCTTGTACAGAAGCTCTGTCCACTGCTTCGTCTCTGTCTACAGACAGGTTGGACTGCGAGGCCTCTATCAGGGGACCACACCTGCCCTCATAGCCAACATCGCTGAAAACGCTGTGCTCTTCATGAGCTATGTCTTCTGCCAGAATGTCGTGCGCTTTGTTTCAGGACTGGACCGAGGCACAGAACTCAGGTGAGGTATTAGTAGCATTCAACTTTTTGGGCACTTAAACTATGAAAATCCAATAAAAGTACATTAATTCTTATACTCAATATGCATGATGCAATTCAATCTTCAAGGACAGACGCTGTGTCATGTGACCCACGGCCAGCGGGTTCAGACCGCTTTTATTGACTCCATAAACATTACATGTTTAGAGTTAACACAGGGGTTTCTTTCTTGTCACCTCTTCGAAAAAATACTATGTAAATTATGGTACAGTAATCGGATCAGATGGCCATACTATGGTAGGCTACCTTGATATAGTCTGCCATGGTACTTTGTTTACCATATTTTAACCACGATATTTACTATAGGCTGCCATATATAGGTTCTTCAAAAATACTATGTACTTAAAAACTTAGTACTACTTACTTTTTAAATAAACTAAAAACTGAATTTTTAATATACTGAAAATGTTTTGAAAAATTTCCACTAATTGAATTATTGTATAATGGTCATTATCATTATTATTATATACATTGCAACAGCATTATAACATTATTATATATATATATTTAGCAAAACATGGTCGACTCTAAAGCGGCAAGCAAATCAAAGCCAAATTCCAGTGTTCCAAATTCCAATGTTCCAATTCCAGTGTTCCAAATACCCGCGTTCCAAGTGCCCCAAAGCCCAGTGTTCCAAGTGTCAAAAATGTATGTGTTCCAAATTCCTGCGTTCCAAGCGTTCTAAATTCAAGTATTCCAAATTCCAGTGTTCCAAGTTTCAAGTGTTCCAAATTTTAGGTTAGCTTTCAGTACGATTTTGTCCTGGCGCAGTACCAAACTTTTCCAATAACATCCAAGGACTAATTTCCAAATAAGGTTTGAGTGATCTGAACCATAAATCTGAACCATAAAACCACACTTTTTTTTTTTTTTCACATACTATTTATGAAGTAGACATCCTATTCATATGTAGTATGGACAGTAGAACTGCACGATTAATCGTTAAAAGATCGCCATCTCGATTCAAACACATGCATTGCCAACGATTCTTCTGTGTCTTGGTGCGTTCAAGTCATGTCAGAAAGATTGTATTTCTGAGTTGAATGGACATGAATGCTGCCACGCACATGAATGCTACCACAAAATCATAAATAAGGGAAGTCTTTATGAGTCATTTTTTCAAATCAATACAATATTTTTTTAAATAGACTGTCACTGCAGCAATTAACATTTTGTCAGAACCTCTAGTAAATTACATGTTATTTTGTTCAGTTGTCTCTTCAGAATCATGGAAGAATCGTGATCCCTATTTTTTTTTAAAACCTACGTGATTCTCAAATTATCCAGAATTGCGCAGCTCTATTGGGCAGTTTATTTAACCTCTAATAAACACATAAAATACATGCGTAAAAAACCCGGACATCTGTTACAGTTCGGCGGCACATCAAAAATGGAGAATCGCTTTTACATTATGTTTAAAATTATTTTAGACATTTTTAGACATGGGTTATCTTTTGAACTCTTGGCCTGAAAACGAACCGAGGTTTCTACTGATCTTTGATGATGTTTCATGTGCATCACTATTTCAAAATAAAGGTCTGAGCACTCCTTATGACTCTGATGAATACTCTTGTCACAAATTAATAAATTACTGTTCTATCGATAATCAGTCGCCAAACATGAAAGCTAGAGTCTGAAAGCTTTCGAATGAAATATAGTTTGTCAGTATTACTTTAGGTTGGTGGGACAGTATTATTCCTTTTTCATTTAAAGATGTGTAATTTAGTTTTCTTTAGAAAATGTAAAAATGTAGCCGTTTAGTTTGGTGTCACTGTTGAGAAATGGTAGTATGTCTTGATGCAAATCCAGTCGTTCATGTTACATTTGATTTGACCTGAAAGGATGAACCATAATAAGTGTGTGTGATTATGTGTTTTCAGTGATATTCAGAAGGCCTGTTCAGGCTCTGTCGCCTCTATCTTCTCCTCTCTGGCTTTATGCCCCACTGAACTGGTTAAATGTCGACTGCAGGCCATGCATGAAATGGAGGCGTCCGGCAAGATTGCCAGTGGTCAGAAAAGGTCTGTCTGGACAGAGGAGGTTTTGGTAATTGAAAATGAGAAATGAGGCCTGTGGGAACTTTATGTCCATTTTAATAGGGATGATAAAGGGTTATTCACATCATTTGGTCATTATTAGAAGTATGTATTTTAGTTGTAATTTACAACGTACAATGTTATTTGAGTTTATTCAGACTAAAGCTCCAATGTAGATTTTTTTTAGTCATTCAATTGAAATAAGAAATCAAATGTTTTGATTTACAGTACAATACTATATATACACAAACATTTAAATACTTGAGTGTAGAGACATCGACTCGATTACGTCATTCGCAGTGGTAAAGAGCTCTTTTGGCACGTTTTGCTTTTTTCGACTCTCTGATTGGTGTAATTTAGTTTTTTACCAGGAATTCCACTGTGAAATGTTATAACGTATTAGTAAATGTTGAAAATAACATTAACTAAGATTGATAATTGTGTTCATTAATAAATATTGTTCATTTTTAGTTCATGTTAACTAAGGTAGTTAACTAATCGACATTTTTTTGTAAAGTGTTACCCAGAATTTTCCTTTTGGGATGAACTAACATTTAAGTGGCTGAATTTGGTTGAAGCCAACTACTTTTTTTAAGTTTGGAGTACTTTTTGTGTTTTTGAGCTTTTAAATTCAGACAAAAATGACCTCAAAATCAGTTGTTCAGCAGTTCTACCGTCTAGAGTTGTCAAATCTTGTTGAAGTTCCTCTCTGTCTTTCAGCACGGTGTGGTCCGTTGTGAGAAATGTGCTGCGGACAAATGGTCCTCTGGGCTTCTATCAGGGTCTGACCACCACTATCGTCCGTGAGATACCTGGATACTTCTGTTTCTTCGGAGGATATGAACTCAGCCGCTCCGTGTTTGCCAACCACATGGACAGAGACAAAGAGCACATAGGTCAGCCCACGGGAGGAACACATACTCACCTTCATGTCACTCCAAACACCTCTGATTGGCCATTGCATTCATGAGATCAACAAACATGTCTGTGATTGGCTACATTTCTCACCGCTGCAAAAACACGTTGTAAAAAATATAGAAACCTTTGCCGCTCTTTAGAGGGCAAACACCAAATATCTTCTGCCAATATGCTATAGGCGAAAACTGATCCTAGACCAGCAGTGATGGGGAGTGTTATTTACTTTTAGTCAAACTGAACAAAACGGGTTTAAACCAGAAACCATGGTTTTCGAATAGACCAATACAAAAATGCACTTTAAATAACTGACACAGGCTTTTCACTTTTTTTCAGTGTATTTACCAGGAAATGCTCCTCAGGAATGATCCGTGTGTTTCTGACAGGTGTGGTGCCGTTGATGTTCAGCGGTGGTTTCGGCGGAGCCTGTCTGTGGTTGGTCGTGTACCCCATTGACTGTGTGAAGTCTCGCATCCAGGTTCTGTCTTTAGCAGGGAAGCAGGAAGGCTTCCTCAAGACTCTTATGGGGATTTTACGAAATGAGGGTGAGATTTCTGTATTTATCCTTGTTTCTTGGCACAGGAAACTTTTAGCTTGCATGTTGCTAGGCTAATGGCTTTAGGACGCAGAAAACAGCCTCTGAATAGATGTGTGTTTCCCAGACAGCAACATAGTGTTAGCCCAGATCCGGCCCACATCCAGGCTGTGTGGATTCCAGGTGTTCCAGATGTGGGCCGGATCTGGGCCGACTATGTTGCTGTCTGGGTGTTTATATTTAGCATTTAAAAAAAATCAAAATTGATAAAAAAATAGGTAGATTTCACTTTATTATTCAACATGCTTGGGCTGATATTCCAATGAAAAACATTTAAAAATAAATGTAACATTTGTTAAGAGTGTCAGTATAGTACGTCATGAGATATATAGCACACGATACGAGTTTCATGATTCAAACTGAATCAGATTTTTATATGATGAAACTAAACAAGTTGTTGTTGGATTGCAGCATGTAATATTCTGGTGTCTTGTTCACAGGAGTGGCGCCTCTGTATTCTGGTTTGACCCCGACTATGATCCGAACTTTTCCTGCCAACGGAGCTCTGTTTTTGGCCTATGAAGTCAGTCGCAAGATCATGATGCAAAAGTTTGATCCCTGAGTTTATCTCTCAGTCTCTGGGGTTTTTCAGAAATGTTTTAATCCCATCTAGTGTTTTCAGTTGCACGGAGCACATGCCTCTCGAAGTGTTGTTCATTTATGCACATCTTGAATATTTTATGTGTGAGAAAGAATATTAAATGAATAAAAAAACTGAAAATCAATCTGTTTCAAACCAGGGTTATTATTGTTAACTAAAACTATTAAAACATTTGTTAATTGAAATAAAGCTGAAATAAAATAAAATATAAATATTAGTTGGAAAAACTTAAGTTGAAGCACTAAAATTATTAACTGGAAATAAATAAAAAGTAAAACTGAAAAAAAAAAAAAATAACAATAAAAAAACTAGCAACATGATAAACGCACATACTGAAATTCCTAATAATTGAGCTAAAATTAACATGAAAACTAAAAAATATAAAAAGAAGCTAATTCAAAATATTAATAAAACTAAAATAACTGATTCAAACCATTTTATGACCTATCAAGTGTCCATATCTGCTGGTCTCATGCTAGAACTTTCATTTTTGTTTGTTTGTTTGCTATAAAAAGATTTATTTTAAAACTTTGAGTTGCATTAAGTAGTTGTTTTAAATATATGATATTAATTATATCAGTTAGTAATAGCGCAAAAAATACTTTCAGGCAGTTCTTGAACGGTTTCAGAAATCGTTTTTATTCCTTCTGACAAACCGCACACATTGTGTGAAATAGTCAGCAAAGGATACAGAGAAAATACCTTTGTCCATAAAGTACAGGGTGCAGCTTATGTCATAATGGCCAAATTCATGTACATATATCAGTGTTTCCATTGAGTTGATCTGTGGTTAACACAAAGCCTGTCTCTATGGTGAGTAGCTCTTGACTGCATGTTACACTCGATTCTCCAGAGACCCAAAGCTCTGCTTTTATTGTTCGACTAGTTTCCTTTTAATGAGGTCTTGGTTTATGCATATCTGAACAACTGAATAGTTGGCTGAATAGGCTGAATAGTCATGTGTGTGACAAATGTGTGAACAAACAATACTGTATTTTACTGCTACGCATGCCATGTTTTTGACATAAAATACACTCCTTATGTTGCAGTGTGTCGATCATGGGCATGGTCACACAAATAAATGTCATTTAACGACTTTACAAACATGTAAACTGCACTGTCATTTTGACTTGATATGATTAAATATGTATTAAATATAAAAAAATCTAAATGAATCATTTAAAAATTTTATATTTATTAAATATTTTGAAATATTTACATTTTACAAAGTAACAATATCAATATTTATTAATGTTAGTGCTGGGCAACGATTAATTACATCCAAAAATAACAGTTTGTGTTTACATAATATATGTGTGTGTACTGTGTATAATTATTTCGTATACACACATATGCATGTATATATTTAAGAAATATTTGCATGTATATACTGTACATTTATACATAATTTATATTATATTTTCTAGATAAATAACAAAGTTTTCTTAAATAAATACATTCACGTCTGTGTATTTATACAAAATATAACACAGTTCACACATATATTATGTAAACACAAACCTTTTTTTTAATGTGATTGTGGCAAGCAGGGCAGGGTCGAGGGCCGCGAGAGAGCGGCGCGAGGCCGGTGGCGTGATTGACGATGAGCGACACCATTGGTCTCGTATCTCTCAGTATCCGTTTACCCTGTCCTACTTACTCATCGCTCGTCTCCTGCCTCTCTCTCCCATTGCAGACCTCGCTGAACCACACACCCCTCGCCACAGTGATTAATCGCGATTAATCGCTGCCCAGCTCTAATTAATATTAATATTTGGTAACTCTTTACAATAAGGTATAATTTGTTAACTGTAGTTCATGTATTAACTAACATTAACTTAGCCTGGCATGCCAGACCTACATCAGGATGTTAGGTCTGGGAACTCACCATTGACAGGGCTCAATACGAGGGGCGGGATGAATGGTTGTCTTTCAAATTCCCTCTGCACGCAATAGGATAACGCTACAACCAACCAGAGCAACGAAGAAGGCGACGTAGTCATATTAAACTTTTACCGTATCCATTCGGCAAAACTCCGAACACATCTTCCTTTTTTTTAAATGACTCAAGTGCCGTTCTTTGTTCATGTTTCAAAGAAAAGCTTAACTTTAAATCATCCAGAGTCGCGGCCAAAGCCGAATCGAAAGACATCTGTTCGCCAGCAGCAGCAGCAGCCATTTTGTGTTTCCAAGTAGCAGTGAACCGTCGCATCTCAGTCGTCATTATGTTAAGCCTGCCCGCCGACTCTACACACGATGTGATTGGCCTGACTACAGTTTGGTTTTTCCAGCTCGAAAGTCAATGGAGAGTTGCTAGACTACACTGGCTGCAAAATAATTTTTGCAGCCGCTAGGGGGAGTCTAGATTTCTAGGCTAACATTAACTAACAATGAGCAATACATTTGTTACAGTATTAATTCATCTTTGTTAACATTAGTTAATACAAATATAACTTCATTGTTTAGTCATGTTAGTTCACCGTGCATTAACTAATGTTAACAAATACAACTGTTCATTTTAATAATGTATTAGTAAATGTGGATGTTAACATTAATTAAGAATAATAAATGCTGTAATAGCCACTACATTACTGGCTAAAAGCCTGCGTCTCAACCCGTGCACGGCATATGGGACACCTCAATTTCAAGGTGACCCACGATTGTGACAAGTCCCATGTCACCTGCAAATCACCCTAACTGTACCAGTCAGGTGTGGATCTGGGCTCGGTTTCCAGAAGAAAGGTGGTCGTGAGTCGTAACGGACGCCTCCAAATCGGGTTGGGGTGCCCTGTCCGACGACAGGCCGGCGTTTGACTCATGGACGGGCCTGATGCTTAACTGGCACATCAACTGCCTATAGATGATGGCAGTCTTCCTGGCCTTCAACGCCTTCCAGCCAGAATGGGCAGGGCACCTCGTCCTGGTCCAATCGGACAACATGACAGTGGTGGCCTTCATAAATCCCCAGGGGGGACTCGGGTCATGCCTGCTGAACAGGCTGGTGAGTCGCCTCTTCCTATGGGCTCAGCACAACCTCCCCTCAGTGAGGCCATGGCTCTCTGAACAAGGGAGCAGACATGCTGTCCCGGAAAGGACGGTCTCCAGGGGAAGGGAGACCACCCTAGACGGTACAGATGATTTGGAGTATCTTCGGCGAGTGGAAATAGACCTTTTCTCCCACTCCCCAACTTTCTTCTCGAAGGATAAGGATGTGTTGGACCACGAGCGGCTCCGTTCACGCCTGTATGCCTTCCATCCGGTAGCTCTGCTCCCTCAGGTCATCAGCCAAATTAGGGAGAACAGATGCTCGGTCCTGCTAGTGGCCCTGCTCTGGCAGAACAAGTGTTGGTTTCCGAGGATGGTGCCACTGCTGCCAACAGCCCGCTGGCTAATTCCACTAAGGAGGGACCTCCTTTCCCAAGCAGAAGGGAGGATCTGGCATCCCCAACCCGAGTTGTGGAGCCTCCATCTGTGGCCCTTCGACAGGAGCCTTCACGCCCCTCCCAGAACATCATGAACACTATCTCTGTGGCGAGGGCACCCACTACTAGGCGCCTATATGTCCTTAACTGTCTTTTCCGACTGGTACTCGGTCCGGAACGTAGATCCCCCATCTTGTGGCATTGCGCCAACACTGTAATTTCTGCAAGAGCTTCTGGATGGGGGACGCACCCAATGCTATGCTCAAAGTGTATGTGGTAGCCATTATAGTGCACCACGCCTCTACTACCAGCCAATCTGTTGGAAGGAATTACCTAATCTCTCCCTTACAATTCCACCCTGGTATCTATCCGCAGTACTTAGGGCGCTTCGAGAGCCCCCGTCCAAGCCGCTTCTGATGGCTGAACTCCGCCCCCTTACGCTTAAGAGTGACCTGCAGTCAGTCTTATCTTGGATCCAGTAAAGTCGTCCTTAAAACAAGGCGAGGCTACGTTCCCAAGATACTCTCCACGCTGTTCAGAGCTCAGGTCAAAATGCTCTCTGCTCTTCCTGCTTCTGATTACATCTACTCTGCCCAGTCTGGGTCCTCAGAGTATATATTGGGCGGTCTAGCCAGTTCTGGCGATCAGAGCAGCCATTTGTATGCTTCGGAGGGGCTGTCAGTCATAAAGCAGAGACTGTCTCGTTGGATAGTGGAAGCAATAGCACTGGCCTATAGTTCCTTGGGCTTGCAGTGTCCTATCGGAGTGAAGGCCCACTCCACCAGGGGAACGGCCTCCTCCTGGCTGTGTTCAAGTGGGGTGTCCATTGGTGACATCTGTGCAGCGGCCGGCTGGTTCTTGCCGTCCACTTTTCGTCAGTGAAAATGTGTGTGAACCGCATCGAAAGGGAACGTTTTGGTTACTGATATAACCTCAGTTCCCTGAGATAACTGGAACGATCATTGCGTAGCTGGCCGTGCTACTATGCTCACTCATTAATCAACGCTTGCCGCTCCTCAGTCAAGAGATTCTAACGATTTACAACCCATTTTGGCGGGCTGAAATGCCATTTGTTTGTGCAGGAGCAAAAACGTGATCCAATCAGTCTTCAGTATTCAGAGAAACCGAGTTTCCCCATAGCGTCAGCAAAACTGATGCAATGCTCATTACCGTTATCTCAGGGAACCGAGGTTATGTTAGAAACCAAAACGTTTTGCCACATATATATATATATATATATATATATATATATATATATATATATTATATTTTATATTGTACAAAAATAACTTTATTAACATTATAAGTGATAATCCAATATGATATTGGATTTTTAGTGTAGCAGACATAATACACAGGTGGTCATACTGTATATCAGCATTTTTTTTACACAGGTCATATCTGGTCATACAGTAGTATATATCAGCATTTTTCATGCATGATGGTATGCCATGTGATTACACATCTCATATTTCCTTCCTTGTGATGGTGCAGGAAATCTTTGAATTATAAAGTTCCCACCACAGCTAAGACAATATTTAATAAATATACCTGAACAAATAAAATATCATTTTGCACCACACAATATTCAGGTTCATGGTTTTCACCGTCACATCTGATGAAATGAGTCTGAATGCTCCCCTCCTCCAGTATTGTGGTCTATCGGGAAGCAGGACACACCCTCATGGGAAGGTGAGTACACGCTAAAAGCTTCTGTTACCTGCCTTCTGCCATAACACATCTTACACTTGTGTCGCTCCTCAACATGACCACCGTAATCAGAGTTCAAGACCGGGAGACTGAGAATGGCAGACACATAATACAAGGTATCCCTGTTTACATTTCTAGATCTTAAACAAAATCTTTAAAATACTAAAACAATATTAAATAAAACGTTCCTTTTTAAACTTAAAAGAAAAATGTGATTGTAATAATTCACAATGCCATTAACATGAAAATAGGGTTTATATGTATTGTACAATAATGCACCATGGCAATATTGTCACCGTCAATTGTACTGTACATGACTAAGTTCCCCAAGACAGTGATGCTAATACATGTTGTATGCGTGATCGTAAGCACGTGAGTCAGTAGAAGTGTCTCTGTGGAATTTGATATGTTTACCTGACATGTAATCCAGGGTTACAATATCAATATCAGGGCATTATCTCCATGTCTGGTTTGCATGTATCATGTTTGCAAGTAAACTTTCAAGAGGCTTCTTTAATAAAGTTGAAATGTGTTTCAGGTATACATTTAATTGATGTGTTTCAGTTATACCTGTTATACAGTTATACTGATGTAGGACCTTCACCTCCAAATCAGGAGGTCAAATGAAAGATTCACTTTTTTGTTCTTATTATATAAACTTAATTCTAAATTTTCTAGCAATTGACATCAATTTCAAATAGGCAAATAAATAAATAAATCCAACACACAAAACAACAAAATAACTGTTATTAGTAATAGGGTTGGACATTTAGTAACATTTAAGATAACTTAGCAAGGATTAGCTAGTTCGAAAGATATATTATTAATTTTTTTTTTTTTTTTTACTTGAGTAACATGATTGAAGACTGAGCTGCCAAATGCTGCCAAGAGAACAAAATATTGAATATAATGCATTAATTGTATTTATATCGTGCTGTAGAAGTGTCTAAATTTGATTTGGTTGATTGGTTGCTTGATTGGTTGGTTTTGTTGGTTGGTTGATTGATTGGTTGGTTGATTGATTGATTGGTTGATTGATTGATTGGCTGATTGATTGATTGATTGATTGATTGATTGATTGATTGATTGATTGATTGATTGATTGATTGATTGATCGGTTGATTGATTGGTTGGTTGGTTGGTTGGTTGGTTGGTTGATTGGTTGGTTGGTTGGTTGGTTGGTTGGTTGGTTGGTTGGTTGGTTGGTTGGTTGGTTGGTTGGTTGGTTGGTTGGTTGGTTGGTTGGTTGGTTGGTTGGTTGATTGGTTGGTTGGTTGGTTGGTTGGTTGGTTGGTTGGTTGGTTGATTGATTGATTGGTTGGTTGGTTGGTTGGTTGGTTGGTTGGTTGGTTGGTTGGTTGGTTGGTTGGTTGGTTGGTTGGTTGGTTGGTTGGTTGGTTGGTTGGTTGGTTGGTTGGTTGGTTGGTTGGTTGGTTGGTTGGTTGGTTGGTTGGTTGGTTGGTTGGTTGGTTGGTTGGTTGGTTGATTGGTTGGTTGATTGATTGGGGAAACGTTGTAACTGGGTTGAATGTAGCAATTTCAGGTAAGATCATTATCATTGGAGATAAGCTGATTTCTAAATGATCTCCCACAACAACAACAAAAAGTCCTACAAAATGTTTGGCTCCATGTCTTTCAGATGATAAACCGCCCTCGCTGGGATGCTTCGGCTGGTTCATTATCTTTATCTCCATCATTATCACCATTGGATTGCTTCCTGTTACCATTTTTATGTGCATCAAGGTAAGGTGTGTTTTTAAGAAGATTTTCCATATGCAATCAATGTCTTGTTCAACACACTAATTATCATCTATGTAAATGATGACTGATTGTATGTACAATGTACTCATTGGCTCACTCTTAGATTGTGAAGGAGTATGAAAGGGCCGTGATTTTTCGATTGGGTCGTATTGTGGACAAGAAACCAAAAGGACCTGGTATGAAAAAGCTTTTCATTTTCAATTTCAGCTTGTTGGAATCCATTTAACACCTGGATCCCGTTAATCGAAGGGACACGTAAGATTAATCAAAATTGTTAGTGATGAAGATGTGAAAAAGAAAGTACACTCTCTTTGAATTCTATGGTTTTACGTATCAGGACTTAATAAAAAATCATTTGGTCTTTAGCAGGTCTTAAAATGAGGTAAATACAACCTCAGATGAACAACAACGCATGACATATTACAACATGTAATTATTTATTTAACAAAAACTAGGCCAAAATGGAGAAGCCATGTGTGAAAAACTACACCTTACTGCTTCCATAGGAATTAAGAGGGTAAGTAGCAGTCAGACACTGCTAAAACCCAAGAGCTACATCTCAGTCAGGCCTCAGTCTGTAAAGTTCCTGACAGTATACAATAGGAAAAAGACTGAAGAATTATGGCTTGTTTGGAAAGCTTGCCAGGAGAAAGACTCTTCTCTTTAAAAAGAACATGGCAGCACAACTAAGGTTTGTAAAGTAGCACCTGAACAAACCACAAGACTTCTGTAACAATGTCCTTTGGACTGATGAGACCAACTCAGCACAAACACCTCATAGCAACGGTCAAGCACGGTGGTGGAGGGGTGATGATTTGGGCTTGTTTTGTAGCCATATGACCTGGGTACCTCCAGTCATTGAGTAGACCATGAACTCCTCTGTATACCAAAGTATTCCAGAGTCAAATGTGAAGCCATCTGTCCGACAGCTAAAGCTTGGCCGAAACTTGGTCATGCAACAGGACAATGATCCCAAGAACACCAGCAAATATACAACAGAACGGCTGAAAAAGAAAAGAGTCGAGGTGTTGCAGTGGCCCAGTCAAAGTCCAAAATGCTGTGGCGGGACCTTATCCTTTCATGCATGAATTATGGAAAACATTATCTAGATTTTTTTTTAGATTCTTTTTATTTTATTATGATGCTAAAATTTAAATGCATTTTCATTTTTACAAAATTCATTTTTATTTAAAAATTATTTAACTGTCTACGTATGTGTACACCATGCAACAAGGGCGTAAAATGGGACATAAAGCCACAGATGACAATATAGCACATTGTGTTTTTTATTATGGCATGTTATGCTATGTATATCAGCTCAGTTATTAAAAACAATAATATTACAATATAATAACAATAAAACACATATTGTAGGAACTTTAATGGTACTTGCATGCGGAAACCTAGTAATATGGGCAAATCATGGAAAACATTCACTGCTGATTGTAACAACGTATTATAGTTTCTTCCTTATCTTACTTCATATTGAATAATCTCAGTTATAGTAAATCAACATCTAAAATGTAACATAAATTTGTCTAGGGTATGTGTAAAGTTCCCATTTAATGCCATTATATGTGATTTTTAATGGTTATTCATGTTGATATATTGGCTGTTTGCTATTGATGTCACTTTCATGTGCACAGTGCCACAGACTCCATAAACTCGGGATTAAAGTCTGAGTGGACAGGGAAAGTTGACATTCAGTGTCGTTGTCATAGACTGTAAAAAAAAAAAAAATAGGTAATTGTACAAACAAAGACTGATTGAATTGGTTTTGTCAACTTGAAACTAATCCTGTAACCCTGAGTTTGTTCAACTACTATCATGGTGTAGGCTCCAGCTAAGGACCAGATGACTTTTTATTATGTCCTGAATCCTGTTATGCAAAACAATAGTATTCATAGAGGGTGTACTTTCTTTTTCACGTGACTGTGCATATTTATATAATGTAATAAGTCATTAATAAAGAGTATCCCTGATCAAATATATATTATTTTCTACATTTGAATGTTTAAAACATTGAATGGTTATACTTTTCTTTTATAGGAATTTTCTTTGTGCTGCCGTGTACTGATACATTCAGGAAGGTGGACTTGAGAACTGTGACATTTGATATTCCTGCTCAAGAGGTAAGTATACACACTGTATACAGCATAGGCCTACATATGTCTTTTTCATTTTAGTTTGTTTTAGTTAAGGTTTATTTCCAGTTATTTTAGGCAATATTTCAAATTTTCAGTAAAGTTTTTTTTAAGCAAAGTAAGCTCAGTTTTTTACTTTGCTCACAAACAAAGTGTTTTTTTTTTCATTTCAAACTGTTGATATTTGAAATCATACTTTATTTCAATGAAGGAATACTTTTTTATATACTTTTAGTTAACAATGGCAACATACTTATTCTGATAGAGGGAACCCTAAAAAAGTAGCTAATTGTGTTACTTAGTTAATTTGTTTTTATGGAACGTGATGTTACGCTACTTTTGCGTTAATTTTTGCTTGCTTGTTTGATTTTTTTTAATAACAAAAAAACTAAAGTTCTATTTTTGGCAAATGTTCAGGCCCTTTCACACCGAAAGTGAGCGGAATAAGCCTCAGGCTGAAGGAAATGCATATTCACTCCTGTACAGTAGAGGGCGCCGCTCAGGCAATCGTTTCAGCTGCTGCTGTTCTGAACTGAAGAATAGGATGCAGAAGAAAGTTCAACAGTCTTACTTCAGCAATACAAACAAAAAAATCCAACGCAAATGTGATGTTTTTAACTAAAGTCATTTTTGCTTAGTATGGTTGAACTGGATCATCAATGGTCTACAGCAAAGACATTGGATAATAAAAAGATATTAAATACATAAAGTATATTTGTGTAATTTAACATATTTAATTATTGCAGCTTTCCAAAATATTCTGAGTTAACATTTCACAGATTTTATTCATTTTGAGGAATCTATCCATTCTGAATCTGAGTAAAATGCATGTTCACATTTAGTCTAGAACTATAAAAACATCATGTTCACACACAACGCCTCCGCACTTTCTCGTGATTTCTCTCAACATGAGGACGTCAGTCAATAAATGGCTTTTCATTACTTGTATGAAAAATGTAACTCAGATATTTTGTTGTAAATTTAAAAGTAATGTGTTACTTTACTAGTTACTTGAAAAAGCAACTTGATTTCATACTGTAACTCACGTTACTTGTAATGCATTACCCCAACACTGGTTACAGGTATGTAGCCCTTATGACAACCCAAAGTTTGCCAAATAAAACAGAGTCATGCCAATAGAATGTTAAATCAACAGGATTTGGCAAAATCTGAACAAATCATTTAAAGATTTAGATCAATATTCAGAAGAGCATCAATATGTGTGTTTATGTGAGAATAGTTCCTGACGAAGGACTCTGTGACCGTGAGTGTGGACGGTGTGGTGTACTTCCGTGTCTTTGACCCGATCTGTTCCGTGGTCAACGTGTCCAACGCAGACCACGCAACACGGCTGTTGGCGCAGACCACCCTGAGAAATGTCCTGGGCACAAAGAACCTGTCTGAGCTGCTGTCTGACCGAGAGGGCATCTCATCTAGCATGCAGGTACAAGAACTCTCTTCTCTGATGATGTGTTCACTGGCGTGAGGGCGGGGCCACCTGTCACTCACATGAGATCCACCAATAGCAAACCACAGCCATCCAATCGATTCCCCATAAACAAAATCAAGTCCCGTCCTACATTTGTTCTTGTTTGAGAAGTCGTTTCTCTCAGATATACGTCACAATAGGGAACAACACATTATCACAACTTCCGTTTCATGCCGACTAAATAAATCTTTTTTTTAAAATCGCAAATAGTGCCGTGTACACAGGTATAAGGAGCCATTTTGCACACCCAGGATTATTTCTTTGCTGTTAAACTCATGCCTCAGCTGTAGGCTAAAGCTAAACCGAGGCATCTACCCCCTGAGATGGGTATATCATACACACAGATCCTGAAAGCTTTGTAACATCTTGATGACAGATTGCCTTGGACGAGGCCACTGGCGTGTGGGGGATTAAAGTGGAGCGAGTGGAGATAAAGGACGTTAAACTGCCGCTCCAGCTCCAGAGAGCCATGGCTGCAGAGGCTGAAGCAACTCGAGAAGCCCGTGCCAAGGTGAGACCAACTCTAATGCAGTGCTTCGTCTATTTAATTATGAAAGTCAGCTCAATACTGCCCAAATAAAGGGCCCGACTTTGAATGTGGGTTGTAAAAATAAGCGAAACGAAGATATCACACAATAGTGTGCACAGTGTATCGTTTCAATAACACACGGCAAAAGAAGAAGCCTTGTTTTGTTGCAGTGCATTGTCTAAGCAAATACATGCAATCCACACCAAACACAGTGGCAGCATACATAATAAATTAACCTTGATTGTTTCCTAACAGATTTTCCAAAAACAATGCACTTACCATTTGATAGAATTAACTTATTACATATAGTAGCCTACATGAGTCAAAATCTGCTAATTAAATGTAACAAATCATGTTAAAATTATCATCGTTTATTGGAAAATTCTCATAAATACCGTGTATTGTGCGCGTTATTTTTTGACAGACATCGGTTTGTTGTGATATTCAAATAACGTGAATTTGAAGACAGAAGGATTGTTAGGTAGGTAATAATTATGTATTTCTTAGCCGGAAAGTATTCAGTCATTGAGTGTCAAGTGAGTGTGTCGATGTCTTTAGTTCTAAGGACAGCCAGCCTCGTGATAACATGCGTGAGGGGGGAAACTACATGTTTGACTTAGCCTACAAAATTCTTTTGCGTTGTTCATTATACTTATTGTACGGAATTATGTTTATTTCGATGCTTAAATAAATGAAATGTTACCCAGAGACTGACATGTTTTGGCTTGTCACAAAGCTGGCACAAATTCATCGACTTTTGAAAGTCAAGTTCAATTTATTTTTATTTTTTTTACTAGGAAAGGAGTGGTTTTGATGCACTAAATTGTTTTCATTGCCTCTTATAACATTTTTTTATATATTTAAACCCATGGAAATGCAGATCCATAATAGTAAAAAATCACGTTCTAAAACTGTTGTTCCTTTATTACGATACCAGATTTTGACTCAAATATATGTTGGTGCATTGCAATTACATTACATTAACACGTGTAGTTACTAGTTACACTGTTAACTTTACCCCTGCAACGTAACCACAACTCAGCCCCCTATAATCATAAGCCTAACCCTAGACTTAAACACAACCATGTCTCAAACTCATTAGCAGTCAATGTGGGAATTTGTAGTTAAATAAATAAATTTGATAAGTATTAATATGTAGTTAAATAACATTACATAGTAAATCCATAGTCTTGTAGGTATTGAATGTTAGTATAGTAGTTAATGCCACCTAATATGAAGTGTGACTGAAAATAAAACAACATTTTCTAAAGGTTAAGCACCTTTTTATTACATTTTGTTTTCAGGCCCTATTTTGTACCCCTCATAAACTGCGATATGATAAATTATTTTTAAATGACAACAAATACACACTTTCCCCTAAAGTTAAGCTGTTTGTCTTGAGATTTCTCAATGCTCTAAGGGCCTTCAGGGATCATTTAGAGAAAATCAAAATACAGCCCTACAATCAAATATTATAGCCGAGGCAGCTCATCGTATGACACAAGCGGCTCCAGTGTATTATTGTTGTATGTGTGTGTGCAGGTGATTGCAGCTGAGGGTGAGATGAACGCCTCGCGGGCCCTGAAGGAAGCGTCTCTGGTGATGTCCGAGTCTCCATCGGCTCTTCAGCTGCGATACCTCCAGACTCTAAACACAATCGCAGCAGAAAGAAACTCCACCATCATCTTCCCCTTGCCCATTGATATCATTCAGCATTTCATGTCGAAAAAAAATGGATAAATCCAGATTATGCTCTTAGATAAAGTGCTTGTGTTCTTAGAAAGTTGTGTAATGTAACGTATGGAAATATGTTGACGGTGAAAGAGAATTCAGTGAGAAACAATGCAGCCATTATCCCTTAAATTAACTGGTGAAATATAGATTTATAGGCTACTGACTCTTCAACAGACTTCAAAAGTCTTGTAGCTGACTTTCAGGTAATTTAAAAGTAGGAACAGAATGCTTTTACATGATCTTTTTAATATTTAAACCCAAAGTGCAATAAAGTGCAACATAATCATCAAAATAGTTTTTTGAATGCATCGCAACAGTGATTAGCTACACTAACAAGGTTTGAATCAAACAAATGACTGCATATCATATCACAGCGTTAAGACATGCTTTTCCAATAACGTGTTGTAACATAGATCACATAAAGCTCTTATAAGCTGTACAACACAAATTAGGAGAAGAGGAAGAAAAAACAAAACAAGAGGACATTTCATTAACACAATCATGGTACAATCCTCCCTTAAATATTTAATAACTGACAGTTGTGTTTTTATTCCATTTAAAGGAATAGTTCATCAAAACAGAAACATTCTGTCATTATTTATTCACCCTTAAGGTCCATTCACACCAAGGACGATAATTATAATGATAACGATAAAGATATAGTTCTAAAAAATCTTTCTAAATATAAAAGAATAAAAGATTCTACACCAAAGCTATAACAATAACGGCACAGAGAAACGATATCGTTGGAATCACTTTCAGAAGCATTTTTCCAGTTGATGAACGATAAAAACATCGACAGCCAATCAGAATCCATCCTGCTTTAAAGAGCTCGAGCATTTAAAGTGACAGGCGACAAAACTGCAGTGCGCACTTAGAATAAACAGAACAATATTGTTCATTGGTGTGGACGCTATTGTAGGTGTGAACGGGCCTTTATATTGTATCAAACTCGTAAGAATGTTGAAGTCTTCATGCAGCTTTCGCCCATACAATGCCAGTTCATAGTATGGATTTGTTGAAATGTTGTTGTATGGAAATGTTGTTTCCATACAACTATGAAATGTTGTTGTATGGAAAAACACTACATTCCCTTATGAAAAAGAAGTATACATTAACATAAAAAGAGTACTTATGTAAAAAGCATACTTTAAATGAATATACTTAAGAGTGAACTGAATTGTATGTTTTCCGTTAATTGCGTGTTATTTTCCATTAAATGAAAATGCATAATAGCTTTTCACTTAAAGGACGTAAGTACATCTTTACATATAATTGAATAATTCTATTGTCTTTGAAACATGGCTGGATTTTACTGCCGAATGCACTGACAAGCTAAAACTATTTATGATAAACTAAAATGTAAAATAATTGGTAATACTTGTAATATTTGTAATTACACATTTATATGAAGTTGCAATTAAGACGATTTCAAGTAACACTTTATTTTACAGTGTCATTGTTATACATGTTACATGTATTTACTATAGTAATAACTATAAATTATGCATAATTACATACAATTAAACCAGACGTTCATCCTAACCCTATAGTAAGTACATGTAGTTAATTATTATTACTCCGTACTTAAATGTATAATTACATAAATGTAATACTGACACCTTAAAATAAAGTTTAACTCAATTTTAAATATATTAACTTTAAATGGAATATTGAATAACACACTATAGTTCGTTATAATCAAGTATGTGCTTTAATATGTATTTTAAACAATGATTTAAAAGTGCACGTAAGAGTGCTAATAAATATAGTAATTGAAAAGCACTCTAATTACTCTAAAGTGGCTTTTTATTTTATTATTGTTATATTTTCTATTTTCTGCCATATTTTTTTTAAAAGTACACTACAAGCGCACATTCAATACAATTAAGTGCACTTCTTTTCCACAAGGGTAAGATTCTTCAAAACTCGTTTTGTGGACAAAAACAACACGAGTTTGAGAGTGAGTAAATGTTCATTTTCGGCTGAACTATTCCTTTAAGAATACGAAGAAACATTCAGAAATTCCATAATCATGTCCATGGGACACAAAAAAAAAAAAAAAAAAAAAAAACTCAGTGCATTTCACAACCTGGTTAATTGAAGATTTCCTTTCATTTATATGTCAAAGGCAGAGATGAAAATAACCCAAGCGCACACCCAAGAAACCTTGACAGAGTAGCATTTTCCTCGGCAGCAGGTAGTTGGTTTGATATTTCAATATTTCATTCAGAGCTTTCGATTTAATTGCCGAGTGAAATACATTTACAAGTCTAATATTACATTGACACCAACCTTCAAATGTATCATTTAGTTTACATTATATACTGTAGATACAGTACATTTAGTATACATTATTATGTACTGTGAAATGACATTTGTAACGCACCTTCCTAACCTGAGCTAGATCTCTGACTGAGACGGGAGGTAATGATTCTCTGAGAATGAGCAGGAAATAAATTCACCAGTACAATGGTATAACATCAGCCATCATGGTTTGCAACGGAAACAGACATTTTTGCTCTCTATTTGCACAAATGTTAAGGCTGAATAACGTAAACTTATGATTTTATGTTCTTATAAAAATCAATCATGGTCATTTGAGCAACTCATAAAAATGTAATCACTAATAGCTGCACTACTAAGTACACTTGGACATAAAAAAAAGTGTATATTTTCCCCTAAAGACATCAAATAAGTGAACATTCATGAACAATATAACTTCCTAACTCTTTTCTACTGTTCCCAAAGATTGAATCCAGACTTTTACCTCAACATCAGCAAGAATGCAAGTGCGTATATACTGTACGTTCAAATGATCCACCTAATATACAGGACAGTTGTTATAGGACATTCAGCGAAGATAAACACAGGTGCAGTTTGAATACTTTCAGGTTCTTATTCACGACTAGAGTACTTCCTGTATTGAGACAATGGCTTTGAGACCCTGAATGTATTATAATAAACAAGAAATCTCCGTAGAGGCCTGCGTTTTCATTTCAAGAAGTGAGGTACTCATGATAGCGCATTGCTAACGTAAAATGCTAACGTTATGTTCTGTAGTACTTTCGCAAACCTTTCAGTTTAATATTATGCAGCCAAGTCTCTACAAAGTAGGTCAAATGCCCTCAGTAGTGTCCACGTGAATGCAGTTTAAGCATATTATCTGGGTTAGAGCAACCGGAAGACTTATGATACATACTGTACAGAGAAGAGAGACACAAACAGCCATGACTGATACCTATGGCGTCAAGTTTACTGGCAGTTCTTACAGTGTAATGCATTCCGGAGATTTCTGTAAACAAGGATAGTTGAGATGAAGGCATGAGGGTTGTTTTCCCTCACAAACATGAGTGAGAAGACGAAGGTAAAGACGGCAGGTTGAAGTTTTGCAAGTCATTTACACTACTGAATTGTCAGTCCATGCTAATATTAGCATCCTTGTGTAGTGGTTACAATATGTGGATGAACCACCTTAAAAAGTTGTTAAAATCACATTTGCATCAACATTTAACCCCCTTGACCAGGGTTAGGCAAGTTCGGTCCTAGAGAGCCGCTGTCCTGCAAAGATTGGCTCCAACACTGAAAAAACCCTATCCTGCCTATAGCCTTAGTAATCCTGAAGACATTGATTAGCTTGTTCAGGTGTGTTTGATTAGGGTTGGAACTAAATTCTGCAGGACAGCGGCTCTCTAGGACCGAACTTGCCTACCCCTGCCCTAGACCATATAACTATGACAAAGTATTTACCTCATTTGAATGACATGTCCATCATAAACTTGCCTGTTGAGATGTTTTCCTGTGTTTTCCTGTTGAGTGTGTCGAGTACAGTAATGCCTCGGCGTGCACAGAAGGTTGCTGGTGGGTGGCTTTCCTTTGAAAAAAGGCAAATATTCCTTGTAAAACTGGTATACATGATGTCCTGATCAATCTTTGGAAAAGCTTCAGACCATAGGCAAAGGTTGAAGATTCTTCACCTCAGCGCAAGCCCAAGAGCCAAATCCATCAGAGTAGAAGGTACAAAAAGGTACATTTCAAAATGGCCTGTGAAGCATCATAATGCACAACATTGTGATGGACACAATAAAGTATTAAAGTAAAGAAGGGAGAATAATGTTCCTTTTTCTGTTCTCTCTAATGTAGGATAATGTTTGTCAAACCGCTCCGAAGCGGGATTCAAACCTGCGTCTCCAGCATGGGAGGCCGGCACGCTAACAAGAATGCTAAAGACTGCAGTCTCCAGTGTGCCTCTTGAGGCCAGGGGAGTGAGGTTTACTCGCACAGCTCTTACTACCTGGCCTCTGTTAATCAACTTCCTAAACCTCACTCCCTTCCGGGTCACGGCACCAATATTACTGGTCCAAGTCAACCCGCTCCGAGCGGGATTCGAACCTGCGTCTCCGGCATGGGACGCCTCTCGCGGCCAGGGGAGTGAGGTTTACTCGCACAGCTCTTTCTACCTGGCCTCTGTTAATCAACTTCCTAAACCTCACTCCCTTCCGGGTCACGGCACCAATATTACTGGTCCAACTCAACCCGCTCCGAGCGGGATTCGAACCTGCGTCTCCGGCATGGGACGCCTCTCGCGGCCAGGGGAGTGAGGTTTACTCGCACAGCTCTTACTACCTGGCCTCTGTTAATCAACTTCCTAAACCTCACTCACACCCGGGTCACGGCACCAATATAACTGGTCCAACTCAACCCGCTCCGAGCGGGATTCGAACCTGCGTCTCTGGCATGGGAGGCCTCTCGCGGCCAGGGGAGTGAGGTTTACTTGCACAGCTCTAACTAGCTTGCCTTCGTTACATTTGTTCAAGTAACAACTTTAAAAAATGCGTATGACAAACTTTTTTGTGGAACACAAAATCTTTTTGAAAAGAAGAAATTCTGATGAATGTGCTGTTCGCTCTTTTCCATGCAATTACAACGAATGGGGACCGATGCTTTCAAGCTTAAAAAAAAAAATCACACAAAACACCATAAAAATGGATCAAAAGTGATCTATACAACTTGTGCCATACATTCCAGGTCTACTAAAGTCACACGACTGTAAGAACCGAACAAAATCTTATTGGTCGGAATTCACTGAAAATCTTGACATCTTTCCTTGGTCTTTGGGCTGTTTGTGAGAAAAATAGCAATGTCCAATTGGTGAATGAACTGTTCCTTTGAGTATGAATGAATTGGTTTTTAATTAATTGGGTGATCCAGTTTGTAATAAACAGTTTGATGTGCTTTTCCCGTACAACAACATAACTCGCTGCGCAACTACTGTACCATAGTACGATGCATCTTTGGAGAAATCAACCTGCTTGTTATGACTGTTTCCCCAAACCGTAGTAACTTTGTCGCAAACCTGTTGTTCAAACCACATTGGTTCAACAATAAAGAGCAGTTGTTTATGATGTCCCTCAGGTGCTGGAGTAATAACTTCTACTAATTAACCGGTCAAAGATTATTTATTGTCAGATTATTGCTGTAAATAACGAACACGGTGTCTAAGGACTACTTTTGTTCTCCATTGTTTTGCTTTATTTCCAGATGCATGATTCAATTGTGGGTTTTCTCTTACCTCACTTCGCGGAGTACTAGAGCACATGAGCATTCTTTAAAAACGCCGCTTTCATTCTCTTGACAAATTACAAGATGTAGAATGAAACTGGAATATGTATGGAATAAAAGGTATAGAATGTACTGCATGTTGCTTGCTTATTGTGCTCAAGAGCACAATAAGACCACATGTCAAATTAACAAGAAACTATGCTGCTAACCACAGGTTGAGAGATGTTGTGCCAACCACACAGCTTTGCGATGCTGTTTGCAAATGTTCGTTGGGACTATGGTTTCGGAAAACAGAAACGTTGAATTTTGTTGGTAACAACAGAACTTGAGACCATAATTGGCTAGCAATGCTTTTGGGAAAAGTACCACTGATTGATTATTTCATGAATAGGACTGATTTTGACATTGACATTGCATGAAAACGAGCAACAATGGCACTTTTATGTTCCACATTGAAGTCAGTCATGCAGGTTTGGAATGAGTAAATAATGACAAAATAATGGGTGAACTATCCCTTCACTAAAACTTGCCTTCAACTATTTTGTTCAGTAATGCTCAAACTCAAACCTTGATCACTGTTTTAAAGCCTATCAATATTCAGTAAGAGCAACTTACAACGAATACAGTAACGAGTAAGTTGAGACGTGATGAAACAGAAAACACACTGGGTGTAAGAGGTGTGGAAGCATCTCCTGTTCCATCCAATCAGAAACCACACGATGAGAAATATAAGTTAAAGATACAAAAAAGGAACAAAACAGAGTGTCAAAGATAGCGGCGGAGAATTGGACACTCATCTAGGGAAGGGCTGTTGTCGGGAGGGTGAAGAAGGACCAGAGGCTGGTCGATGAAGAGGCGACTGGGTGGGAGACATTCGAGGGCTCAACTCGCCCGTTTGAAGACGCCACATGAGCTCTTCGTTGGTGCGACTCAGTCGCTTCTTCTCGTTGCTCTCTTTCTCAACGTACACCTGCAGGTTGGCGTTTTCCTCTGACAGTTGCCTGGTAGAATAGAGGAAACAACTCATGAGAATTCTTCTGTAGCTTTAGGCCACGTACACACTGTAAAGTTTCAGGAGTGACAACCGCATTTAAATACAAGAGTGTGTCTCCTAAATTATCGTTCTGTGTTTGTACGGAACACGACTCAAAATTGTGATGATTGACAGCATGGTAGCCATAGCGACGTTCTGGCATCTTGTGTGTTTGGTATCCGTTAAGTAATATTACAGCAACCAAATATTCGTTATGTTCTTAAATTTGAACTAAACCACCGTCGACAGAGGCGTTGTGTTTTTTGGGTTTGTTGTCTTCTCATAAAGTGATCAAGTTTATGGAGTTATTAAAAGTTGGGAAGGTGCGGGTCACAATATTTTGGGTCTTATTTTCAATATTAAGTATTTGTACTTACGGAACTTTAGTTTATTATGGGCTTGTTCTTGTTCACTGTTTTTTGTAATAAGATCTGGCGAGATAAGCTCGTAACTCTTTCCCTGTGGTTTTCTTGCTCTTGCGCACACATACAGAAGAGACACACATCTCTGATACACGTTTAACAGCTGACCATTATTTGAAAGTTGAGCAGCGAGATCATTGGCTACTAATACAGCAGAAACCAACCAGCTGTGCCTTATAGAGAGTGATGTGATGACTTGCGAGCAGATTGAGTTAAGGACCTCTTAGCATGCGCAGTCTAGAATTTTATGACAGAATTTTGTATTTGATTTACTTCCTACTCAGTACCTTTAATGGTATAAACTAGAAATGTTTTATAAAGACCTGGACGTTGCGACGTTGCGGTCAATCCTGTCTTTTAGGTCTTCATTTTGCTGCTGCAACACCTGAATACGCTCCTCCAACAGAACGTTCTTCTGGGCCTGTGCAAAAACATGACAAACACACTAAATCACTGAAAAACTGTGACATTTCTACTTTGAAAGGAGAACTTAGTGATTTATTCCTTATTATGTAAATTTCAAATGAGATGGAAACTCCAGTCATATCAGAGGATTATGGTCATAATTATATGGGGGGGTATCAACAACGTATCTTGTTAAAGGTGCAGAGCGATTGTTGCTTGGGCACTTTCCCATTGAATGGCAATACATTTCTATCTGGATAATCTATGTGTCTCAACTGGTTGCCCGTTGATGGCAACATTGCCCAAAAAGTTGCCCTGTGTATCATTACCTTATGGGCCCTATTTTAACGATCTGAAACGCAAGTATCAAGCGTAAAGCGCAAGTAACTTTGTGGGCGGGTCTTGGGCGCTGTTGCTATTTTACCGGCGGGATAAATGACTCTTGCGCCCGACGCAAGTTTAAAAGGGGTTGGTCTGAAGTAGCTTCATTATTCATAGGTGTGGTTTGGGCGTAACGTGAAATAAATAAATCAGAGCGCCATCCAATATACCCTTTAAGAGCAGGTGCGCATGTTGCATGGCAGATTGTTATTATTATGGCGGATTTACCAGGCGCGCGCAAGGGAATTTTTTTTTTTTTCTGGTTCTTGACGGACAAACTAATTTTTCAGACGTCCTTATATATGTGTCTTGCCACTATTGGGCAAACAGGTCTCATCCGTCATTACTACAATTAGCCTGAAAAATTTGGGTAAATGTGTAAGCTAGATTTATTTTAGGCCTACATTTTTTTACATCTTCATCGACACCACAATGATTTCCCTCATGTGTTAATATTTTTCCTAGTTATAAGTATGATTTGCCAAAATAAAAACTGCTGCATCTGTGTTGATGAGAGAATCAAATAGTCCCTCCAGTTTTTCACGATTCTGCGATCGCTGAATACAACGCAAAATCAACAAAATGTCGCATTTTTTTGCGATCCTGCATAATTCCTAATTTAACCGCAAAATAATCACAAAAATTCAAAAAAAGACCTCACAAAACATTAAATTATAATAACCCAATTGAAATATCTCTAGTTAAAGTTTCAATGCATGTTTATGTGGGTACAGATGTTGCGCACGCGTGATGTCTGTGAGCGGTCTGTCAGAAACATGGCGAAAGAAAAAGCGTCTCTCCTGTCCTCTCAGCGCCCAGGTTTTCATTGGGCAGTACGGCAAACTTATTAACGCGTTTAACATGATTGAATAACATAACAAAAAGTATGATATGCTCGATGGTACTAAAAATAATTATTAAAAGCACAGTATACCGTGAAAGAGAACTAATTTCAGCCAGTCGAGTAACAGTCTGTCTCTGACTGCATGTGTGTGTGTGAGACTGACTGAATGACTGACTGCGTGTCACCGCCTGTCGGCCTAGTTAGAATATTGAATTCTCTTTATAGCCCTTGAACAAATACACATAGCTACAATTACTTCAAAATATTCATCTTGGCAAGTATTTACGTAAAACAATCAGTAATAACTGATTGGGACGTTTGTCATTACTGTAGTAGGTCTTAAAGTGACAGTAACCTAATGTACCTGCTGTTGTCAGTGTTGTTAATGTTAATCAAGCAACAACAATAGGCTACAGCACAATAAAAAAAAAAAAAAGAATTTCATTAGACCAAATAAACAAGATTTATGCATTTTGTTTGTGATTTGTGTCATGTATGACTATTGTGCATCTGACATAATACTATTATGGTAAATGTGATGTCCTAATTATAAAATATAAAAATCGCAAATTTTTCACAAATTTCTGGAAATTACCACCACAAAATCAGTCATTTTGATCGCAAAAATCAAAAAAAAAAATTCGTGAAATCCTGGAGGGACTGATCAAAGTGTATGCGCGTTGTGCACCCGTTACATTATGGCCAAGTATGAACAACGCGCAACGCGCCACTGACTTTAGACTAGGTTTTTTCTGGTCAGTGGCGGAATTGTTTTCTGGAACTGCAAAATAGCCCTAGGGAATGTTTGCGCCGAAACACGCCTCCGTTTTGCGCCGCCCCGCCCAGGGAGCGCAAGTTCATTTCCTAGTTTACCGACGTGCGACTGTGGAGGGAAAAGCCTGCTTTGCGTGGGTGCAAGATAGGGCCCTTAGTGTTATTGGACACTTTTTTTGGGTGACAAATACATCTGCATATAGGGCATTTCTTATGGCCTTTGTAAAACCTTTGTTTTTGCCTGATACCACATCCACACTGAAAGGTGTCAGTATAAGTTTAAAAACTATCGTAAAACTTAAGTACAACTTTAAAGACCCCCTGAAACCTGTCCTATGTTGACCGATTCCTTTTTGAAATAAAAGTGGGGGTGGGACATATGGAAGAGGTGCACTGGGTCCAAAATCGAAAACTTCCCTACAATATAGTATGCAAAAAAACAGTACACCAAAAGAGTAGTATGTCCGAATACATAGTATTTGAAAAACAGAAGGCGAAAATCCCCGGATGACCTACTACTTCCGCTGAGATTCTGAAGTGTGCATTCGATGAACACTTTCCTATCCAGTGAGGCCACTGGGAGAGGATTTATGAATGGCAGTGAAGTGACATTATAAAATGGGTGTAATTCTCATTTTATAGAGCATTTGATTGGACAGAAATCTGTGTAGTGCAACATGAGTCAATACTTTTGCTCTATTTTCCTATAAAAAAGACTTGCTAAAACTAAACTTTTGTTAATGAGTACAGGGAATAAAAGTCACAAAACATCTAATTTCATGGAGATTTGACTAATTAAAGCTATCTCTTTCTCCATTGTAACTCACCATTTTTTCCAGCTCTGAAATTTTGAGCTCCTGTTGATGAATCTGCTGGTTCTTCATCTCCAGAACCTCTTTAAGACTCTTCAGGTCCTCCTCAATATGCTGATATGGAGCAAGAGCATCCTGTACAAACACAAATTCAAATTACTGCATATCTGAATCACATAGGCACATAGGTTCTTCTATAGGGGCTTTTGCACTGGGTAGTTATAGGAACTCAGTTAGAGGATATAGCCACCAGGAAGGTCCCCCGAGGATTAAATTTTCCCCTAGGGCCATTTTCCTGGTTGCATTTACACCGCCAGTAGGAACTCTGAAGTGACATAAATTAAAGCACAGCATTCAACAGCTGGAGGATGAAGGACGGTGTGAGCGGAGCAGTGTTTTTGTTGTTTCATGGGTTTCGTGATAACGGAGATGGAATGTATACGTATAAAGAGCAAAAAGGAGGGCTAAGAGACTAAATATCCTACGGCAACTTGCAGCGCTACATTTCAAGGCAGAGAAAACTACACAACGCCACAGACAAAGGTGACAGGTAAATGCTGATAACATTCACTTTCTCTATGTTTATGTATCATCGCTGTTTTCCATGTTTGTAGAGTAATGCTGCCTTCACGTGCTATTGGAAATTTCCTACTTCCCACGAAGTCGTGTTTTGAAGCTCGTCGCATTCAAGTGCTTTGTTTTCCGAAAGAACAGGAATCATGGAGGTTTATTCTTGCCTATTTATTGGGGAAATCTTCTTGAAGCCAAAAAGATATTTAGCATCCCATTCATTGACAACGCTATCTATAGTCGGCTTACTGAATATTCTGGAATTGCCTTCAAATACTATTTTAGCTGTGTATAAAACATACAATACGCTTCAAATGATTTATTTATATACGTATGTAAATATGCACTACTTTCACGACAAGACGGCGTAGCTGTTGTGGAAAAAAACTACTGAAGAATTGTCACAGCAGAAATCGTTCTCCTCTCGTTTTAAGTTTATGACACGCCCAACTCAGGAACTTGGGAATCAAAATTATCCCCAAGCTTCCCAGTGGTACATACGACTTGAGAGGGGTGTTCAGATCCAATTTTTAACTAGACATCTTGTGTTTACGATATGTGTCTTTACATGGCCTTTTAAAAATTGCGGGTTTTGGTGTTTCGTATGGCATGCGTTCGGCCAATTAAAGTACACTTACACTTCCTGGGTTAGACCCTACTCTGAAGTAAGAGCTAATTTAATTCCTCCATAAGGTGCTCCTTTAACTTAAGTCATTCCCAGTTCCTGCGGTGCGAACACGACAAAAAGCAGGTTCTTCCACCAATAGTTATAGGAACTATGAAAACGAAACGTCCCTCCAATGCAAAAGCCCCTTATGGGATCGTTAAAAAAAAAAAAAAAAAAAAAACTTTTGAAACCTTTATTTTTAAGAGTATAGAGAAGGAAAGAAAGTTAACAAGTGTCCAGTATGCAAACTCCTCCAATACTGTTTAAAACGCATCCCTGGATGTCCAGAGTGAGCCGAGGTGTAATCTAGATAAAGGATGGTGACCAAAAAATGTAAATTCTGCAATCATTCACCCTCATTCCAGATCTTTCTTTTGTAGAACACAGAGGACACTTTTTTTCTTTATTTTACAGTCCTGTTTCACATGTACATACTATATACTTATTGTAGTAATTACAATAACTGGGTAATAACTATGTACTAGTCCTGAACCTAACCTTAACCCATGTAGTTACCTTATATTACTCAGTACTTTCTTGGTAAGTACACTGTAAATACATTAAAAATGCACGTACTGTAAAATAGAGGGCAACCAAAAAACACACAAAAAGCATTTCCTGGGGATGACCTTTTGTCTAAATACCACTGGCCACACACAAATCAAAAGAGAACATCAAGGACAGTACCACTATCTGCTCATCCGTGCTTCTGCGCAGTGCTTCTTCAAAACGCTTGGCTCGGTCTCGCAGAGTGCGGTTCTGAAATGTCAACGTGTCCACCTGATCCTAAACACAGCACAGAAACACACCCCTTTACACGTGTCCTCATAAAAAAGGGGGGACACTGTACAACACATGTTGGCATTCAGAGCGAGGACATACAGTACCTGCAGTGACAGCCTGAGTTTCTCAAATTCCTCTTCCATTGACCTCTTTTGCTGCTCGTGTGCCATCCTCAGGTCTAAAAAGAAACAGCCAGTTAATTTTAGTAAGAACACATTGATGAAGAAGAAGAATGAACACAGAGTTTGGATTCAACAGTCTGTAGTGATGTTGTTAAGCAGAAGTTACCAGAGCTCTGTTAGTGGGCCAAGCCTATTTGCTATTATAGACCTTTTAGCCCAAATAACGCTGTCTAAGAAGGCAGCTCACTAGGTTTTTAGACGCAGTCGCTTTGATTTCTGATTTCTATGATGGATGTGTCTGTCAGCAGGACTCACTCTTGATGGTTCTGGTGTGTTCTTCCTGTAAAGTGGCCAGTGTGGCACCATGAGTCGCTTCCATCTCCACCATGGCCGTCTCATGGTTTTCACTCATCTCCTCGATCTAACAACAAAAACGGCTGCGTTTAAAAAGGTGCTCTGGAATATTGGATTCTGATAGTCCATAGTAAATTCACATAGTATGTCAACTTGTGTGCCAAACTTGAATTCAAAGAGGGAAATATCTTTGCCAACAGAACTAGTTTAAACTAGTTCACGTATACTTTGGGTTACTTTTCAGACTAGATACACATGCAGCAACCACCTTCCAGGCTTTCGTAATCCTCGCTGAGCCTTCACACCATGCAGTCCTTTGTGTTTAGTGCTTAAATAAAAGCCTCTTCAAGGTGTGTCGATGATTATCTCAGTCTTTACACCCTGTTACTCCCTCATCTCATCTCACCTGTTCCTGGTGCTGGGAGCGTAGCTGCTCCAGGTGACTGTTCTGCTGTTGCCGGAGTCGCTGAATCTCAGAGTTGTGCTCCTCCACCAGTCTCTCCTGTAGGGCCTTGAGCTCCTGCTGTTTCTCCTCTTGGAGTGCTTTCAGCTCCCGCTCAAAACTCTGCTCCAGCTGAGCCTTCTCACCCTGCAGACGCTCCCATCGCTGAACACTGACCACTGGAGAGACCCAAAATAGTTTGTTATGGGCAGTGAAAAGGACACACTTAACTTTGAGAAAATGATTGTTAGTAGCTATAAACCAACATTCGGTGTCAAAATTGAAGATTGAGTGACAGATTTAAATAAGCAAAATTTTCAGCCATGTTACTTTCAATCTTGGTACCTATTCTGGTGAAGAAAATGAATAATATATGAGCCGTTTTATTTTCTATTAATGAAATATGGGGTTTGCACATTTTGACAACCCTGTTACCAAAGTTTGAGATTTACCAAAAATATATATTTTTAATCATAACATATAAAAAAACCTGATTGGTGTGCTCTTGCAATACTATAGCAATCAATATTAAATGATCAACATTTATAAAACATGAAATAAGTATACCAGAATAAGTACCAAGGTTCAAAGACACAGGACAATTTTGACACCAAATGTTAGTTTGCATCAGTGTTATTTTAGTAATATTGAAATATTTTGAATGAGATTTATGTTTAAAATCTTGGTAATTTTACTGTTTTTCTTTGTCAGAAAAACTTTGTACATTTATATCTTTAAAAAAATCACTACATAGTTTTGTATTCATTTTTATTTGTTTACTTTTAGTTTTGTTTAGTTTATCAAGAAGAACTAAATAAGAATGGCAAATGTTGCCTAAGCAATTAGCTGTAAAAAGTTTTTTTTCTTTTTTTTTTAGTTCAAATTAATTTAACTTAAAGTAGTGAATTGTTTTCAGTTGTAAGAATAAACCTGGTTTGTAGCTACTGATAAACTTACATTTCCCATAAGTTAAAGAAAACATATTTGTTTGAATAACTTGAATAACAGGTTTGAAGCTTGACGAATGCAGTCAACACATCAATATTTGTAAAAACTGATCAATGGAAAGACACACTGTTGACAGAGACCAAGTCATGTTTCTCAATTTTAAGGAATAACATATTTTTCATAATAAGGGGAAATCATGCTGTAACAGGGTTCATTGCAAAATAACAGATAGATTTAAAAATGTTACTCTAATGAACTAAATATATGATTTTATATGAGATATTTGATGCGTTTAAAACTAGCTGCTTTTCATGCTAGTTTAATTCTGCCCTACAAAGGCAAAAGACCTTAACTCGCTAGAGTGTGGAACTGAGAAAAATGACTTTAAAGATTTTTAGTTGTCCCGCCAAATTAATTATAGGTAGGACACTGGAAATCTTGCAATTAGATGTTTTAGTAATGAAAATGATCTACATAAAAAAAATCTTGAGCTCAAACTTGACCACTATTTTAATAGCACGTTTGTCGATGGAGCGGGTTCAGACCGCACTAAATGTTCTGACCGCGTTTGTTTCCAAAACAAAGCCAAAGAGCGGTAACTGGCGTTTCGGTGTTCTGCCTTGGTTTCTCATGCGCTTTTGGAAGTTACTGTTAAGACAACCCATTATTTTCTCGGAAAAAAAAAAACAACGGAATTGACTCAAGATACTTATCCACATGATAAAGGAGGTCTTGAATAAGCCAAAAATATCAATAACTCATTTTTGACCAAAAACAAAGTTACGGTCTTTTGCCTTTGCACGGTAGAATTGTATATTACAAAATGGTTAACGTACCAAATTTAAACCTTTATAACCAAAATAAAATGGAATTGTGCCAATAAAGCTTCAAAGTGTACCATATTAGTAGAATATGATACTCAGTGATTTATTAAGAAGTGTTCTTGCTTCACTTCAAAATGATGTGGGGCGAGTCGTGTGCCAAATGAAATATGAGGGAAAGAGAAAAAATGTGCAATCTGAGAAGGTCAGTTTGGTTTTTATTTCTTGAGTGGCTGACCTCATTCTAACATTTGTGAGTATGCTGCTGTTGTGTGTGATGTCCAGAGAAGACTTACCCACTTCATCCCTGATCCTGGCTAACTGCAGGGATAACTCCCTCTCCTTCACGACAGCGCTCGCGCTCTGGAAAACACACACAGAGAGATACACAAGTGTGTTACGAATTGCTCCACACAGAATCTGCAAGCTCACATGAGTGTAGGGGAAAATTATGCAGTGGAACTGATGTAAAAAGTGTTCAACAGTGCTTACCACAGTAAATGTGTTTTCAAACGTTATTTTTTTTTTGTTATAAATAAACATGAGGGATGAATCTGCAAAAGTGTGAAGAACTCTATGCAGCTCAATTTTAACCAAATAAAACATACCAGCCAAAATACCACTTTAAAAATTACCTAATTATGCTTTTTCTACATTTTCAACTTCCTTTAGTGTGTAATGTTGCTGTTTGAGCATGAAACAGGTCTGCAAAGTTGCAAAGGCTCTATATCAGTGTTTCTGAACTCCCTGAAACGCCTCCATTGTAGTCTTGAGTTTTGACTATTCCTCATTTAAATAATTCACGCTCAAGGAACACGCAAAATAAATGGACGAGACCTGGTCGAGTTTGTTAGTAGTGTGTTGAAACTTAATATGGTTATAGTAAGGGGCAGGACATTTCCCAACACACTTGAAGCAGTTGACCAATCACAAACACACTGGCCCGGCCGACCAATCAGAGCATATTGCACTTTTCAGAGGGAGGAGCTTCATAGCAACAGGAACTAAACAGGGGTGTGTTTCCCAAAAGTATAGTCAGCCAACTATTCCATCATTACCAACAAAGTTAAACAATTTTTACAATGAACATTCGCAAACAGCGTGGCAAACTTACGTGGTCGGAGCTACAGCTCTCGACCTGTTTTTAGAAGCATAGTTTTTGTTCAAATGACATGTGGACTTAAATAGATCTGCTCTTGGGCACAGTTAGCAAGCAAACTGTGATTCAGTACATTCTATCTTTCATCCCATTTAAATATAGGTACCTATACACTTTGATCTATATATTTTAGCATGTCAACAATCAGCGGCTTTTTAAAGAGTCACATGTGCATAAATACGACGTACGTGATGAATCAATCATCGAATAAAGCAAAACGACAGGGAGCAAAAACAGTGAAGTAATCCACAGTTCGTTACGGATGCTGCAATTAATGTGAAATATGTGAAAAATATATATTTTTTAAACTTCCAAGCATAAAAACCTATTCTAGTAGACCCCAAAAACAAAATCAAGACTTTGAAAAAGGGCATTATAGGTCCCCTTTAAACAAGATATCTCTGTATACCAGCAGCACACACAATTAAATACAAAACAATGTTCCTCAACCTTTAAATTAACCCAGCAAGCTCCAGATAACCATGTCACAGACCTCTAGTGCCTCTATCTGTTAATAGCACATTTACTCCAAAGTGACATAAATAACCATATCTGTTACGGGAATGTTTGATGATGCCACAACACAATGAGATGTTCATGATCCATACTTGTTAATAAGAATCAATGTCAGCAAATGATACGCCATGAGTCAGCATTTTAACACAGCAGTCATGAATCCTACACTCATTCAGCTCCAAACGCCATCTGCTGTTAAAAAGCACCTGACCCTCTCGTACTGTAAACAAACAGCAGGCTCAAGACCCCATGACCCCACAAATGCCCTGACCTGTCATCATTGTGTCACATCAACAGCTCTCACCCAATCAGATCTTCCTCCAGCACACAACATAACACGCAGATCCCTGGAGAGAGTCTTTCCATGAATACTAATCCAACTGGCTCGTTCCTCGGCGTAGTTACCTTTCATTTCCTGCTGGGAAAGGTCTATAATAGTGAGAGCAAGGCGTTCTCAAGGACTCAGTCGCCACCCATAAAACAAAAGATAAATCTGTAGGGTGTAACACTGTCACAACCCAACACACCTACAGCTTAAACATGCTTTAAAAACAGATATCATACAGGGCCTTTCTTATTAGTGATATCTGCTGAGCATCACTGTTACTACTGCTCATCTCAGGGGTTAGGACTTTAAATAGACCCATAACCCTAAACATTTTGGTTCTGGAACTGGTCCGGAATCATATTTCTTGTTGAGGAGAAGTTAGCCCTACATCTCTGTGATATTCTGTACCAATATGTTTACACTAAATAAACCAATAGTAAGTAACCACATGCATAGGAACATGGTAGATACCATTCAGAAGAACCCATTAGCACTCTCTAGCAATCACTCAAAACACCCTAGTGACCATATAGCAACATGTTAAAAACCACTCAACATAACCACATAGCAGTCCCCTAGCGACAACACTCACAACACCTTAGCAACGTCCTTACAAAGCTCTAGCAACCACGCAGAACTCTCTAGCAATACACAAACAAGCACTCACAACACCTTAGCAACCACATGGAAACATCCTAGCAACCACCCAGAACACCCTAGCAATCACATGTAAATACAACACCTTCAAAGCAACACTGTGGCAACTACCCAGAAGACCCTAGTGACCACATAGCAATAGACAAACAACCACTCAGAATACCTTATAGCAACCACCCAGAAAACCATAGAATCCACATAGAAACTGCTCAGCAACACACATGGCAACACCCTAGCAACCACCCCTATAAACTTAGCGACCACATGGTTATCTGCAAACAGCCACCTTAGCAAGCACATAGCAACGCCCTAGCAGAACACCACAGTAACCACATAACAACAAATAAATAACCACACACAACTCCTTGGAAACCAAAATGCAACACCCTAGCAACCCTTTAGTGACTACATAGTATCCAGCAAACAACCATTCACAACACCTTAGCAACCACCCATAACACAGCAAGTGCATAGCAGCACATAAAGAACCCCTCACAACACCTTAGAAACAACATAGCAATGAAAAATCAACCACCCAGAGCACTACAAGTGCATAGCAACACATAAAGACCCCCTCACAACACCTTAGAAACCACATATTGATGGCCTAGCAACCACCCAGAGCACTACAGCAAGTGCATAGCAACACATAAAGACCCCCTCACAACACCTTAGCAACCACACAGCAACACCCAAGCCACTCACACAAGAACCATTCACAACACCTAAGCAACCACATAACGCCCACCCAGAAGACAACAGCAAGTGCATAGCAAGCAACACATCAAGAACCACTTACAACACCTTAGAAACCACATAGCAACACCCTGACCACATAGTAACCTGCAAACAACCACTCACAACACATTGGGACCCACATAGCAATGCCCTGGCAACCATCCAGAAACATCCAACCGCTCTAACATTGTGGCGACAAGTTTTGCAAACAGAAAATGTTCAAATCTAGTTAGTGGCATCATCAATACTCATATCATGCAATGTTTCATTTTCAAATGCATTAATATAAAAAGGTCAATAAAGACCAAAAGTGCATTAAAACAATATAATTATGATATCAGAGCATCTGCATCAAGAGTCAGACTCAGCAGTCAGGGTGGGGCTTCCCTCGCCGTAAGAGCACATGTTTGTCTTCACTGACAGCACACACACACACACATACACTACCATCATCACAAGTATATAAAAGATGAATGTAGAATGAATATGAAATAAACCAGGTCTTATGCAAAATGCATCAATGGCCCTACTTTAGCAAACAAGTCACAAAGCAAGAAAGCAGCATCACACACACTCTTCCTGGCATTGTTTCTGTAGTGTCCGAACAGCATGTAGGATGGAGACACAGAGAGAGACATTGCCTCATGCTAGGACAGAATGTAGCTTTATAAAAACCTGTCAGGGGAATACCATACGCACACCGAATGAGAGAGAGAGAGGGAGTGGAGGACAGACAGACAGGAGGAGTTAGGGAGAATGTGGAAGAAAAGGGCTAAAATCACCCAACAAACGACCTTACCTCATCCTGTTTTTAGCGTCATAGCCTGACTATTTCAACAACGAGTCGCGTGAGTCTGCGATTCTACACATGTTCTTCAGACAACCCCCAAGCTTCTCACCCTCTCTCTCTCTCTCACACACACACACTAGGAGATGTTGGGAGGAGGGGTGAATGATGGAGAGATAGAGGAGGATGAGATCAATAAAGAAGAAAATAACACGTGTGCATTGTCTGATACCACTGGGTCCACGGACACACATTTTCACATACAAGCATTCAATCAGACGAGGGAAAGCATTCCAGATGAAATATGATAAACAGCATGTCCTATAGTAGAGTGACAACACTTAAACTATGGTAATCGTGACATTTGCGGTTGTGTGCAATAAATTATGCTTTAAAAAGTTCCTATGCAAAAATAAAACAAATTTAAAATGCAGTAAGGTAAAGTAAGAGCTTTATGATGATGCGAAAAAAATAAAACAAGCACATGAAGCTTGGTTCCAAATGGGATTGTTTACTACATGACAACACCCTAGCAACCATCCCGAACACCCTAGAGACTGCACAGAAACACACCAACATCCACCCACAACCCTTTAGCAACCACAAAGTAACAATGCCCTAGCAACCATCCAGAACACCCTAGAAACTGCATTGAAACACACCAACAACCACTCACAAACCTCTGCAACCACAAAGTAGCAACGCCCTAGCAACTACCCACAACATCTTAGCAATGCAAGAAAAAGTGAATGCTCTATACGCTAGTGAACGCATAGCAACATGCTAACAGCCACTCAGAACGCTTTAACAACCATATAGCAACACCATGGAAACCATCCTGAACACCCTAGTAACTGCATAGCAACATGCAAATACTCCTTAGCAATGACATAGAAATGTCCATCCAGAGCACCCACCCTAGTGTCCAAGTAGCACCAATGACTCAGAACACTTTAGCAATCAAAAAAGTAGTAACACCCTAGCAACCCCCCACAACACCATAGCAACTGCACACACCCATTGACAACACTACTAATACTCCTTTTTAAAAACACAAAATATGGCTTGCCAATTCAAAAAGGTTTCAAGGTTAAAGAGTAGGGCTGTCAAATTACAATTCTAATTTAGAATATTTGTCAAATTTAAAATAAAAATCCACATTCGAATGCAAAAATGGCGCATTCAAATTGTTGGTGTGCGTCAGGCAGCCCGAGATGTGATGATGATGTAAAAGTCGTTGTTGCGTTTTAATGTTTTTGTTAGGCTATCCAGTAAAACCCACTAGATGCGGCGCTGCTGCCTTGTTTATTCAAAACATTCCAGAAATAGAGAAGCTTAATACGAATACGATTAAAGGTGCTATAGGGAACTTTTCTTCTAAAATGAATCCTTTTTTATTGCCTGTGTGTGAAGGGGTTGTAATCACACATTACAATGATCCACTTGTCGGGTTTTGCTATTACCTCTGAAGGCCAGTATTCCTATTTCTATGTGAAGTCGCCAGGTCGGATTTACCGCGAAATCCATCGGATGTGACGTGCATGCGCGCTCCCGAGCCTCTCTCCTTTTTTATATACAGTCTATGTGACGGCACTGCAGCTGACGACATGGAGTCTGATAACACCCAAACACGACCTGCCTCCAGCACAACACACACTCCAACACAAACTCCACATAAATATAAAAAACAAAACAAAAATATATCTGCTGAAGCTCGTCAGGCCAAACGTGAATCAGATCGACTTAGGACGAAAACACGGATCAACATCGGCAGAGCGTTTGAATTATAGAGAGACCTCCGCTATTTTTATTGTGATAAATTACAAGTTTTCAGATATGCTGAAATAATGTTAAACTGTAATGAAATAGCAAGGTAAACTACAACATATATGAGACATGAAATGAATACAAAAGGCTGTTCCAGGATAACAAAAAGTAGGTGCTTTAGGATGTAACTTTTATTGTATGTAGGCCTAGCGTTACTAGATCTAAGTTACTGTCTTAGGTCACTCATCCCACTACTATCATATTGTTTATAATACACATTTCCAGACACGTTCAGTACAGTAATGTTCCTTCCTACGATCTTACTGTTACACTGAAATTGTTCAGTCTAGTTCACTAACCGTTTTCGTTATCATATTATACATTCACCTATATTGACATTGCTGATTGTGAAAGATACACGAATAGTTAGTGAAATGCCTTATGCTAACACCACATGTCGGCTAAAAGCAGTCAATGTAACGTTATCATGGTACGAGCATGGAGCATTAGTTCAACATCAAGCTGATAAAAGTAGCCTATTATTGTAACGTTGCAGTGGGAGTTTACATGAGTTTCCAGCATGTTGTGTGATGCTTTCTCCGGTGTGTTGAAAGTCTCAGTGTGGCCGGTACCATGAGTGATCGCTCTTGTGTTCGAACACGCGCAAGAGCACGAGCGTTCTTGTAAAAATTGGTTGCAATCTGAAACATCACCGATAGAGGCCGCTAGAAAATACATATAGCACCTTTAATACGATATCTTGGTTACGTCAAAGCAGTAACCAAGCTGTTCACGCAGAACGCATTTTCTACACTGCTTCTATGTAAACATGCGCTAGACGGAGATCTCGTCTCGCAACAGAGAGCTGCTTGTTTAGAAAGCCATGTAAAGTAAAAAGAAGTTCAACTTTAAAGGGATCCTATTATGCCCTTTTATGAAGTCTTGATTTTGTTTTTGGGTTCTACTAGAATATGTTTTCATGCTTGATTGTTCAAAAAACACATAATTTTTTTTACATATTTTACATTATTACAGCACCTCTCTCCCCAGTCTGGTTGAATGCATTGTTTTCGATGAAGCCCCTCCTTCCGGAATACGAAATGTACTGTGATTGGTTTGCTGGCCCAGTGTGTTGTGATTGGCAGCGCTTAGAGTGTGTTCGGGAAATGTAAATATTGAGGATGTAAATATTAAGGATGGCGTCAATTTCAAACCAATTCAAGCCTGATTCAGACTTAAGAACGTTAACGAACAAGAGGATCGTGCAGAACGGATTTCATGCACAGACTTTGCAAGCACGGATTTCACAGGACGTTTCGGAGTTGTTGTTTGTTTAAATGTTTGTCTTATACATTTTAGATACGATGTTATACACCATTTAATCATGATTTTTTTTTTTTTCGGAAAACTATAGTAATACAAACAGTAATCGATCCCAAAACCATGGTTAATTTTCCTAAGAAAAATCACCTTAAGTTGAACAGTCTTACAAAAGCGAGAGCTTACAAAAGCAACAGTAAACACTACATCAATACTGTAATGTTAGCTAGCAGGCTATTAGAGGCAAAGCTTGGCCCTTTCTTTACATCGTAGCAACAACATAAAACATATAATTGTAATTAATAGAAAATGCAATTAGAAATAGTAAGACATGCGAACAAGATGAGATCCCTAAACAACAGATTGTCCCGACAAAGTGGGAACTGCTAGCCTGGGAAAACCCAGACAACTTCCGGCAAATTTAGATTTGCTCTGAAAGTTAGTCTGGCAAAGAGCTCATTCAAGCCCATTTCCAATCCGCCGAAATCGAGGCACCAATCAGAAACGTTGGGGCGGGCTTTACACGATGACGACAGCGCTGGGATTTTGAAGCAGATTTTGTAGCCTACATTACAAAGATGGATGCCGCCGTCGAACATCACTTGTTCGAATCAGCTATCGCGTCTATTTTAAGCGATTTGAACGTTTCCTTTTAGTTAAAAACCGAGCAAAGAACAACACTCGGAGATGTTTCTCCACCGCTCTGCATACGTCATCTCCTTCATCGCTCTGATTGGGTTTAGGTCTATCCGCGACGTCCGTTGGTGACGCCCCTCTGGAAATGATTTGTCTATGACGCTTTGCCAGACCATAACTCAGTTACAACTGAGAATGGTCTGGTTTTAACCAGGCTAGGGAACTGCTCCATTTCAGGAGAAGCTTTTGTGCATAGCCTGCAGCTGTTCTCCATAAAATGTGCAGCACACAGATACACGTTGGGATTATAATGTTCAGGAACAGTGTTAAAAATACATTATAACCACTCTAAGTTCGTCAGCCTTAGGAAGGTCAAACAAAAGAGTTTTGGAAAAACAGTGTCTCTTCAACATGGCGACAACACGGGTCTCGCTAGCGCAGCTCAACCAGGCCTCGTCCCCTTCTTTGCGTATTACGTGGGCGGAGATTATTTAAACGAGTCGCATTTTGACTTCATGAGATCCGGGAAAATCACGCTGTAGTCCAAACGAGCCGTTCGTTGTAGTTCTTGAAAAGGGACTTGTAAATCTGTTAAATAAAAACTCCCTTTGGAGTAAACTTAGAGCTTTGTAACCTTGCAGATCGTTTTTATGCACAAACGGCAACATTACACACTAACTAAAGTTGTAAAAAAGTGGAGAAATAGGACCCCTTTAAAAAAAAAAAAAACATCTCAAGACTTCGTAGGGCTTTTTCCATTTCACAGCTACTCATGTTTTTAGACTCAAAAAGCACTCCGTGTGATCACCGCTTTGGCTCTTTGTAATAAACTAGGCATACATGCATGATGCTGTTTTGTTCATAATTGTTTACGTAATTTATGTAATTATATTTGATTTATAAACATTAGTATAAACCTTATGCACTTATTTTCAGACACTCATGTCATTTTTATTGCTTTGAATTAACAATTTAATGTGGTGCATTAATATTTTCCTCATCGCACCCTCTAATGGCCTCAGGAGACAAGCCTAACTGAAATTATGCCTTCTAAATTTGAATATAATTCGAATATTAGTAATATTTTAGTGTAAAATTCCAGTTTAGTTTTTCAGCCATTTTGACAGCTCCATTAAGGTGTTTCCCTCCTGGGCTCCTGAACACAACACTAGGCTTTCTTTGACTGCCTCGTTTCCACAAATTGATTCTTTCAAACACTTTTCAAACCATTTTTCAGCAGTTCATTTACATCATCGTAAACTTTGAATTCTGGGTAATCCCTATTTGGGATTGAACCTGCAAACCTTGTGGTACCATCACAGTCTTAACTATTAAGTTAAGTATTAAGTATGAAGACTGTGAGAGCGTCACCTTCTGGCAGAAGTGTTGTGTGCTGATGGTGAACACATCCAGGCATCGTGAAGACTTCCTGAGCTCCTCCTGCAGGACGATCAGCTGCCGGGCCTGATCTTCACATCTCTCTTTCAGTCTCTGCATTATCAGCTTCTCCCGCTCGGCATCCACACCGTCTGAGCGCCCGCCCAGACGGGCCACACACGACTTCTGACGCACTGGCAGATATGAAGAAATATGAAAAAATGCTGAAATATGAAAAATATGCTCTTTTAAAGGTTCCTAATTCCAACGCCAAAAGAAAAAAAAACCTTTAAAGGGATAGTTCACCCTATGAAAATTCTTTATGAAAATGTACTCCCCCTGAGGTTGTTCCAAACCTGTAAGAGTTTATTTACATTTTAATATACAGTCAAACCAAAGATTATTCAGACACCAGATATCATTTTTGATATTTTTTTACAAGTGGGGGCAGGACTTTATAGTTCATTTATGTAAGGGAGGATAGCAAAATAAAGTAAACTGTGACATATCATACCCAACAATTCTTCATACAGTGGACTACCAGTAAAATTAACAAATATTTGGGACCAAAAATTCTTTAGACACTGTGACCAAGTGTTTTATTTGAAGTTATTTATTTAGGTAACACTTTACATTATGGTTCTTTGTTGTACATTTATGTAAGGGAGGATAGCAAAATAAAGTAAACTGTGACATATTATACCCAACAATTCTTCATACAGTGGACAACCGGTAAAATTGGTACCAAAAATTATGCAGACATTTTGACCTGACCATGTTTTGCTGAAGTGTTTTTTCTTTAATTCATAATGCGACCATTTTACACCACAGACTGAACAAAATTAAGCATTTCTTGGTAATTGGTTGAGCTAAATTGGAATTATCTAATTGTGTAGTTATATTTACCAGCTGACAGATATTCAACATAATTCATTTGTGAGGCAGTCTAACAGAAGGATGGACAAAACCAGTGAAATATCAACTGATTTGATAACTCTGAGTTAAACTATAGTGAATAAACTGTGATAATGTGGGAAATATTGAAGGTGTCTGATTACATTTTTGTTTGACTGTATATTTAAACAAAATTGGTCAAATAAATGCAGTGATCATAAAGGACCTCTTTCAAAAACAACAATCTCACCAAACATGGATCAACCAATCAGATTTTAGAAGAAGTTTTTAAAAATATGCTTATATATCATTTGTGAATGTTTACAAACTGACATTATGTATTGGTATGGTCCATTTATTGTGTATTACAACTGAATTATTGAGAATACGGAAATAAAAAAACTGAGCAAAACGTCAAATAATCTTATTTTAAGACCTGTGGTGTCAATTTTTCCTCCATTAGTCTGGAAGCATTAGTGAGGGAATTACTCGCCGGTTTCCTGATGGAAGTCTTTAGTCTTCACAGCGTTGCTATGACAACCACGAGTAGCTGGTTAATGAGGGATGTGAAATGACAGTGGGAGGGGCGAGCGGAAGAAAAAGACCTCACACACGTCACACGGTCACGGGACACTCACCGGGGGACTGAGGCTTGGGACAGACCACTGCAAACCTCTTCGGGGACGACACAATGGGACGGCTGATTTCTCCATCCCTTTGAAACTCCTTTCTAGAGGCTGTAGAGAAACAAAGAGCAGATTTATTATATTATACAGTAGATTAATATAAGGATAAAGTAAGTGCTGAAAGTGTCCACTAGCTGGAGCCCTCGGCCCACTAATGTTTCTCTCATACTGTGACTGCAGTGATCAGCTGTGATGCAATGCATACTTCAGCCACTAAAGGGCCCTTCAAGAATATTTGTATATATATACAAAAATAAAATACTGAATACTGGAGAACATGTTACATATTTGTAATATATTATTCAGCAGCAAGAACACTGCTGAATTGATCAGAAGAGACAGTAAAACATTTATAATGTTGCAAAAGATTTCATTTAATGCTGTTATTTTGAAGAAAATGAGAAAATGAGCATCACAACTGTTTTCAATATTGATAATAATAAATGTTTCTTGAGGATCAAATCATCATATTAGAATTATTTCATTCTGAAGTAATGATGCTGAAAATTCAGCTTTGATCACAGGAATAGTAAATAGTAATAATACCTCCCAAAATATACAGCTATTACTGTATTTTTGGTCAAATATATTCTTTTTATATAACAATAATTTGCAATAAAAAAAGATTCCGTACGTTTTGTACGCCATGAAATGATTTTTGTCCATAATTACTAGGTTTGCTCAATTCTCTGTGAGAGTGAGAATATTATTCTCTTATTATTATTCAAATGATGTCTTCAGCTATCGACAGGCTTCTACTTCAGTGACTCTTTAACACACATAGAGACAATAGAAATATGGGTTTATTTAGTGCAACTTTTATAATAATACATGTATTTACAGTTCTATATATTTTGATATCTCACATTTCATTAAAGTGAGAAAACATACAGACAAAATGTACAGCTTTTCTGCAAAAATACTGTAGTTGATGTACATTCTTTGCACACAGAGGTGTAAAAGTGTGTGTGAAGTATGAATCTTGTTGTCAGAATGTCAGAATGCTGGTGTTTGGGACACAAATCAACATTTGAAATGCTGTGATGCGATTGGTCCACTGGTTAGTTCAGTTATCCAATCACATCCTCTGTTTAGCCAAAGTCACATGAGGTTTTTGTTGTTGAGGTTAGGGCTTCAGCTTTGTGTGTGTGTGTGTGTGTGTGTGTGTGATATCACGAAATGCCCATAAAAATAGGCGGATGGAAACCGATTGACACACACCTCTTCACACAGGGTCATGTGACTGCAGCGTGACACAACATTGGTCAGGTTACATTTGGTGGCAAAAGCATCAGACAAATGAATCTGTGATAACTATAACATGCATCACTACGCTCAGGAGCTGGCGGTGGCGCGACTTACCCACGGGTGATGCGCGGGGGGGCGTGTGCAGAGAGCGGCGGCTGGGGGGCGGGGGGTTATGAGTCCTGCTTTCATCACTGCCGCTGTGTGGACCTGTGGAGAGCGAAAGAAGAAGCTTTGAGGAAAATATCCTTTCCCTGTCGTTCTGCACTTACACTACAACTGAACATTTCTATGGTACACTCTTAAAAAGGTTATTTATTGGCATTGATGGTTTCATGGAGAACCTTTAAAGGCATATTTCACCCAAAAATGACATTGCTGTCATTAATTACTCGCCCTCATGTCGTTCCAAACCCGTAAGACCTTAGTCCATCTTCGGAACACAAATGAAGATATTTTTGATGAAATCCAAGAGGTTTCTGACCCTACATAGGCAGTAGCGTCACTGCAACTTTAAAGGCCCAGAAAGGTAGTAAAGACATCGTTAAAATAGTCCACGTGACTCCAGTGGTTCAACTTTCATGTTAAGAAGCGACGAAAACCCCCAAAATAACGACTTTATTCAACAATCTCTTTCTCTTCCACATCATTCTCCTACCCTGTTGACGTAATGTAAACATCGCAGCGCTTCCTGGATATACGTCGGAATGCCGGCTCATTATTGGCCGATGCTGGTCATGTGAGCACCACGACACATGCGTGTGATGCTGATGCAGGAGCAGCCAATGGTGAGCCGGCGTTCTGACGTAGAACCAGGAAGCGCTGCGATGTTTACACTACGTCCGCAGTGGAGGAGAATGATGTGGAAGAGAAGAGATCGTTGAATAAAGTCGTTATTTTTGCGGGGGTTTTGTGTGCAAAAAGTATTCTCGTCACTTCATAACATTAAAGAGCAACGTGCAGGTTGAATTTATAACTGAATTAATACTTGATATTGTCTGAAGAGGTCTTTTAAAAACACTGTAGAAATTACTAATGAAATCTCATTTGATGTAGAAATTTTGATGAAAATGTGCTAGGCTGTGGAATACGCCTTTCCCGCTAGCAACGCGTCATATGACGTAGGCCGAGGCAAACAAGAGCTCACGTTCAGCTGTAGTTAGAGCAGTAGTGAGAGACAGAGAACGTTTTAGATCGAGTTTTAGAGATGCCATGATGGTAAATTATTGTGTTTGTGCTGGTTGCACGAATTCCAGCCTGTCAGGACATCGTGTCCATCATTTTCCTTCTAGGAAAAACTAGGCTTTTCGTTCTTGGGTGCGTTTTGTGCAGGTGAAGAGAGCAGACTTCACTGCCGCGTCTGTCACCACACACTCGGTCGTTCGTAGCGCACATTTCACTCCGGAGAATTATAGACCTGGAGATTTTTTGCATCACAGACAGATGGTTTAATTAATACGGCTTTGCAAACATTGCATTTTGCTGTCTTGCTCTGCGGTGTTTCCAGTGTGAAGTATTTACACACAGCTCAATGCTGTCCTGCTTGCTGGCTGCAAACTGCGGAGTGGATTTCCTGAGGGGGGTCTCTATGTCTCATTGAGCCGCGCCTCCGTTCAGGAAATCCATTCCACAGCTTGCAGCCAGCTAGCAGACTGGCCGGCGGGAATCACTTTTGGAGTCATTTCAGCAGGATATCGGATATCTCCGCAGGTTGGATCGGGAAAATCCGTTACATGAATTACACTGGTATCTGTCCCGATACCGACACTGGATCGGATCGGCCCCATCCCTACCTGTGGGCCATAGGCATGCTCGTCAACATCGGAGAACTCGGTTTTTTCATTCACATCCATTGTAACCTGAGCTTGAACTTGACCAGACTCCCTCGCCCATCGTCACTTCCGGTTAGTGCTTTATAGACGCGAAAGTTATTTTATCACAATTTATCTCAAAATATCGTTAATGGCTAAATATATATTACTCCAGTTCAGAAAATCTAGTTGTTTTGTCATCAACATACACTATGCTATATAGGGGTGTCCAACCTGCATGTTGCTCTTTAAGGTTGAACCACTGGAGTCACATGTGCAGTTTTAATGATGTCTTTACTACCTCTCTGGGCCTTGAAAAGTTGAAATTACATGGCTGTCTATAGCTGGTTTAGAAACCTCTCGCTCATGCAAGGTCTCATGTTTGAATCCAACCTGTGGTACTCTAATCCTGTCCTCTATTGTCTCTATCGATTATAAAGGCCCAAAATATTTTAAAAAAAGGAAACAAGAGTTTGGGATCGGAAAAATATGTCTCTTATGCTCATCAAGGCTGCATTACTTGATCAAAAAATACAGTAATATTATGAAAATAACTGATACCATAACTATACCATAGTACCTCCACAACACGTTTTCAGCCAGCGGTATCTTAACAGCATCCATGATTCATCCAAAAATAAAGACTGCTATCTTTTACTCACCCTCATATCTTTACTAACCAGAAAGTTCACGCTTTTCTTTCCCACCCAATGAAGTCATATGAGTTCAGGACAACATGAAGTTGAGTAAAACATAACAGATTTTAATTTTTTTTGGGTGAACTATCCCTTTAAACATTTTCCTAGAGTTGCAAACTCATGCCGGTGTCCAGAGTTATGTGGCGTGTTCTGCTGACACCGCAGACCTGTTGTCTTCACCTTCCTCCTCTCGGATTTACAATGGATTTTTAGCCAGGTCTCAAAAACGCTGACACATCCTCCTTCACGCTCACACACGCTACAACCTGAAAAAGCCACCGCAAAGAGGCTGCAAGGATTAATGATTAATGCGACACTGTTTGAGATCAATAAAGTCAAGTGTTACGTTTTCAAGGGTTTAACTATTCATTATACAGTGATGTTGATGTATATGTAAGATCTAATCGTAATATCACTACCGCAAAAAAAGCAGCATTCATGGTGAATGCGATTGAACAGCCAAAGATGTCCTTCTGAAACCTTGAGATCCTGTATTACATTTAACACATGAGCAACCCAGCTAACAAAAACATGTCCTAAGAACGTTTCGCTAACGTTATTATGAAAACGCTATTTCTGAAGGTGCTCTGAATGTCAATGAATAAAAAAACACATGATGCTGATGTAAAGTGCTAAAGATACGCTGTCATAAGAATGACTGTGTCCATATCAGCAGGAGATGGAAGACATCGGCTGGCAAATGGCATGAGGTCTTGTCAGAGAACACACGACAGCAGGACGTGTGCATTATTTATGATGAAGCATTAAAGGTTTCACTGTCTGACGCCTAACATGTATGGTATATTTGATTCACATTCATTTATGTGCCTTGAGATTGTCTTCTAGAATTTCTTCTAGATAAACTTTTAGGATTACAAAATGAATCGTGGTGAATTCATTTAACAAGAGAAAAACAACAAGAAGCTTTGCATTAATAATAGCAATGGTGAAAATATACTATATGGGGTGGGGGGCCTTCGAATATTGTTTTGAACAAAGGGGGAATTCAAGACAAAAGCCTTCCAAAAACATAGCAATACGTGGTTTAATGACTTACTGAATGATAATTCGAATAATAATTAAGGTGTTCGTCAGGAGTTGATTCGATATGCAATGTTGCAATATAGAGAAAACACTTTTTAAAAATGAAATGATTTCTGTAAATGCAGTGATCCAATGCTGTGTGTCTCAGATTTCAGTGCTAGTCACATGACTAGTGGCTGTCTGTGTGAGCGATTACACAAAACTAGAAGACTTTCTGAATGTATACGCGTTATGCTTCTTTTTTTTTTTACAAAGGGAAATTTAAAAGAGTAAAAAGAAGTAGTAAGGAGAATCAATTGATTTACTGCCATTGTGAAAATAACATGTAATCATTTTATCAATAAAAAAGTAACTGTCTGATTACGAGTGTTTTAAAATGTAAGATAATCTAAATACAAGTACATTTTTGGAATCGGATTACATAATCCAGATTACATGTAATCAGTTACTAACCACCGGATGATGCAAAATGTGTCGTTTTTTTGGTAGTTTTCATTGTTCAATTACACTGTAACAATAAAAAGCTGGGTGAAAACATGAGAACGTATCCTTAAACTACAAATCTAACTGATGTTAGAAAGCATTTCACAACTAGAAAAAATATGGAAATTAAAACTTAAAAAATTCTATAGTGAGTTTTCAGTAAAATATGGCATGGAATGGCCTGAATTAAAGTTAGAAAGAAAGAAAAAAGAACTTTAATTAAAACAACAACAATAATGATAATCAATAATTCAAAATAGTAATTAAAATATTAATAAATCATTGACATGTTTTTATTCCCCCCAATCAGGCAAATGGGCTCCTATGACTAATGTACAGTATGTGACATGAATAAATCACAAACAACACTTACATGGGTGCAGGTCTTGCTTTTCAGAGTCTCTTTTTAAAACAAAAGTAAAAAGGGGCACAAAATACCCCAGTAATGAAAACATTTTGTGCGGCAAATTCGTCCGTCGGTAGAGGAAACGCATCCAAGATCCAGACTTGAGATGACAACGAACATCATCCGCTTTCACAAAGTTAATCTGATTTTAAAACTCCACTGAGTCGCACAAAAAAACTCTGAAGATTACGAATTATGCTGCATTATGAAGACTTAACGATAAGCCTTAAAACCCTAAAAGTCATAGCAGCCCTACTCTAACTCCGACTCCCTTTCCCACAGAGGAAACGAGAGTGAAAGTGGGGACACGGGCCTAGATGTGGACACTCGGGAGGGGTCGACAGCTGTCCGTTATATTTTATCTACCGAGCACGGCATCGAACAAAAATGCTGCATGCACATACAAGTCTCCGGATTTAAATAACAAGCAGACGAGTCTTTGGGTTTTTAAGAGGAGACATAAAATTGGGAAGGGAAGGCGCCACTGTTGACCCCTCAGCTGTCCGAGCAGAGAGACAAATGTGTCCCCACTATAGCATCAGACATGTCAGGACGTCTGCTGATGTCATAACGGGATGCTAAACAAGGGTGTGGTTTCAAAACACACTGTACTTACAGTACAACTCTAAACCCCAGAGAGAGAGAGAGAGAGAGAGAGAGAGAGAGAGAGAGAGAGAGAGAGAGAGAGAGAGAGAGAGAGAGAGAGAGAGAGAGAGAGAGAGAGAGAGAGAGAGAGAGAGAGAGAGAGAGAGAGAGAGAGAGAGTCTCTATACTGTGAGAACACATACATTACTCAGCAGTTTAGAAACACTGTTTGCTAGACTCAGCATTTGTCTGCAGTCTTCAGGGAACGACTGCAGTGAAAACAGGCTATAAATGAATAAATGAGAGATATAAATGAGAGAGGACACTCAAGCCTTTCAGTCACCATGAAATCAAAATTGAGTATTTAAGCATTGCAGTATTAAAAATGATTTATCCGTGCACATCTCTCTTTTTTTTTATTCATCCTCTTGCAGGTCCTCCTCTCTTCTCTGATCATGTGTTTACTGGCGTGAGGGCGGAGCCACCTGTCACTCACATTAGATCCACCAATAGCAAATCCCAACCATCCAATCAATTCCCCATGGACAAAATCAAGTCCCGCCCTACATTTGTTCTTGTTCCGGAAGCCGTTTCACTCGAATATACGTCACAATAGGGAATAAAAGACTATGTCGACTTCTGTTTCATGCCGCCTTCAAAGACAAGCCCTTTAATACAGTATGTCCTGTCTCGACTTCCTGTTTGAAAAGGAAATACCAACGAGGACTGTAATACCTTGACAAAACCTACCCTGTAAAAATGATATGATTAATAAGTTATTAAAACATATGTTTTTACATCACTTTAACTTATCAAAATAAGTTATACAAGATTCAACTCGTTTTTTTTTTTAGGTCAGTTTAATGTAATTTAAGTTGAAATGACTTAGACATCCAAGTTGATTGTACTTAAAAATTTAAGGCAGCAACTTTTTTTTTTTACAGTGTGTATACATTAGCATTTGCTCAGCTGGTGCAGGAGTCACATGCCTTGTGTTTTCTGTCAGATGCTAAGAACTAAAATGAGCGATGTCCGATTCATAAAAGTAGCTGTCCGAGTCAGATTTTGAATGGTCTTTTCCCTCACTTTTAATGCGACACGCAACAATAGCGTCAAAACCGGTGACAGAAATGGCGGATGTTTTCATACATACAGCATTCAAACGACATGTCTAAAGATTTCCGTTAGGAACATCACAATATATCCCAGTCTTCTCTATCGCTGAGTTCTGCACCCCGACACGACATGCCACTTATTTGGAGCATGCCTCTCCACTGCATGCCTCTCCACTCCACTGCAAGTTATGTTTTAAAAAAAGTCTGGTAGTTTCCTGAAAAATGTGGAGAAACCGACTGGGAAACGGTGGCTTGTGTGATTAAGGAGGCAGCACATGATGCTTTGAAGTTTGCAAGCTTATGCTCAAGGCATGAAACAACCTTCATCTACTATTTTGCAGATTTAATCCACTATTTAATGCAGATTTACCAAGTAGCAATCAGTTACTTGGGAAGAAGGAATTAGACTTAGATATTTCATTCTTCATGTTATATCTGAATCACATTGTTCTGTAAGATAGACTGACAACATTAAAACATATTGACTCATCATAGTGGTCAAATGTGTCATTTCTTTTTTTAGATTTGAGAGGTCATGCGTGGATAAACAATTGTATTTCTATGCCTGTTTCTCTAGAATTTTTTTTGTCGACTAACACTGACCCGAAACCAAATCCAAACCATAAACTTATAGTAAGTAAATGTAGTTAATTAATATTACGCAGTACTTATTTGTGTAATTACACAGTAACAACATCACCCTTAAATGAAGTGTAACCAAAATAACTAATACTAGTATTTCTACGAGGAGCAGAGTGCAAAGACGTCAGACAGAGGCAGGTTTCACACTTCTCTTCCTCACAACAATAAAACACTGACTATATTCATCCCTTCACATTCCTCAGCCCACCACAGCACACAAACCAATATCAAACTATTATAAAACAACACGCACTGTTCTCTATATTTCTCTCCAACACACTGAAAATGTGCTGAGCACTCCAAGTAATAGAACGACCTTTATCACATTTTCACATTCACTCTTATGTCTTATGACAGGTGGTCTTCTTAACAATAAAATGACAATACTTTATGGTAAAATTACATTTGAGGGTCTTCAATCATGACTAGACTTCCATGCCAAGTAACTTCCAGTTTAAACTGCCCTTATTATGCTACTTTAAAGGCTCTTAATTTTGTTTTGGAGTCTCCTATAATAGAGTTACATGCATCCAAGGTCAAAAACACTCATTTTCTTATCACCTCTTTTCTCACAGTGACTTTCTGTTGGTCAATTCCAGTGACCAACTTGGTCCCATAGTGACATTTTTGACCACACACGAAATTGCAGATCGTGTGGATTCTTATGGAAATGACTGGAATTCACCAGTGAAAATTCACAGAACAACAGCTAATTTTACTGCACCTTAACTCTGTTAAAATGGAAAATGTTTTCTGCTTGTTGTGACATATAAGGAATACTGTTTCTGGGTCGAAGCCTCTACTTCTACTTCCTCTATCATGTTTCCAGTGAGAATACTCAACAGCCATTTATGAGCACTGTTGATTCAAGTCACACATGTAAGCTTTTCAAAAGCCATAGTGTACATTACCGTCTCCAGTCTCACGGCATCCCAGACTTCAATATTTTACCATTCAAAATAGCTGAATAACTAACCATCTGAGATTTCGATGAAGATCATAGGCTGGTATTATGCAAATGTACTACAAACCTAGGTAGGTTTGAGCAGTAATTAAGACTGAAATTACTGACGACTCGCTTCAGGTTTAAAATGGGTTCTTTCTTTTGAGAGACAATAACTCTATTTGTTGAGCACTTTGATCTTTGAAACTTTGCAGACCATTTGCATTCACAAACAGCTCCATGAAAGGTATTATATGAAAGAGGATAGGGGCACTTTAAAAGACTGGGAAACATTGCTCTATACATTAAGCTCTGAGATGCATCATCTTGCATACAGTGCAACAAGCAGGGTGTTGAAGCCATCGATTGTACTTTGTATCTGCGAGTAAGAAGGCTTATGACAGGAAGAGTTGGATAATCCACAAGGCCTATACTAATCCTAACACAATACCAGTACTGGAGCATGTGGTCTAAGAATGGGCTGCTGTAGCATTTCCTTACACTTTAGAGAACTCTAAACAATCACCACCACAAGACACCATAAACAAGAGCTTGAAGGTATACCTCTACCTCTACATGAACAAACGCAACAAGCAGCAGCTAAGAAACCTGTTAAAACCAGAACAGTCAGACATCTGCATACTACAGAATGGGAAGTGTACTGTAAACAGCAGGTTTATGACAAGAAGAGATGTAAAACTCACGGCTGGATCGGCAGGGGTCGCTGTGTGTGCTGTCATTTGATTGGTTGCTGGACACAGAAGACACGCTAGCACTGCGGACGAAGCCAAAGGCGGCCAGGCGAGCAGGAGGAAGATGGGAGAAGCCGGGAGGACGCAGTCCAGATTGACCCGGTTTGGGGAGCATAAATTTGGGGGCCACCCCCAACGCTAGTCTTTTCTGATCCACTGTAAAGCAGTTGACAAACATTAGTTCCTTCAGATTTGATCCTTCAAACAAATATCACTAGTTCATTAATATATAACTCGGCTTGGTATCCCCGTCTACAATCTATAATAATAAAATGAAAACAATCTTGACCTAATTTGTTTAAATCCTGATTTCAAAAGATTGTATACAAATGTCACTAGTGCTCACGATTTCTTACACAAAAGACTTGGAATATAGGTAAATGCATAAATGTCATTTAGAGAGGTATAGGCTTTCTAATGCTTTAGAAAACACCTCTAAAGATCCCCATGTTTACTGAGAATTAATAAAAGACCTGTTGTGATGGATTGATGAATGAAGTTTGTATGGGAACAGCTCAACAATAATATAACCAATAAAAAGTACAGTTTTTAAGGGTGAAGAAATTTTCATTCGAAAAATCCGATGATTTTAGCAATCCTTTTTACTTTCAGAATGGCTGATTTATTAATTTCCTCGATTTCCAGTACGTTTTTTTTATATGTAACTGACTGGCAAAAATCCAGTTCCTTAATTTACTTTCAGAAGACTAAGGAGAAAAAAGAGCCAACGACTGTATAAAAGTGAGATTCCGAAAGGTTTTCCCAAAGTCACAGTTTTCAATCTCCTAAGAGATATTTGAAGATATAACAAAAATAAGTGTATGACAAGGTATCTCAGCAGTCCTTGCTGTCATTAACATTTCAAAGAGAAATGGTAACGCCTATAAGAATCAATGACTGCACTTCATAACCTCAGCTGATGGGGTTTCTGTGTGTGGGCATTGTGATAAGAAACAAGTCTGATTCTGTGTATTGGCGGCATTGAACTGTGAAGTTAGTCATTTATATTCCTGTCTAGCTTTATGAGCTATATTTTAAGCAAATGTCTAATACAAATCAATACTGTTTAATTAAACATATCACATTCTGAACAACGTCAACTGACAACTAGGGGCATGACTTTGAGAGTTTTAGTGCCTACTGACCTATGGGTTCTTGGTGACTACTTGAGGCATGAACAGCTGGAGCGGTATAACTGAGGGGTGATGCCGATCTTTGACCTGGTAAGACAGTCCTGTTCTTAGTAGCAGGCTGTCTGGTGACGGCTCCAAGACCAAGCTGAGGCCTTAAGGCTCTGGGAAAGCGGAAAACGGAAGCAGCGGCATCATGGGTATTTAGCTGAACCGCTCTACCAACCTGGAACAGTAAGAAGTATATTTTGATGTCTTTGTTATCACAAACTTAAAGAAGCAGTTGAGAGTATCAATTAATTATGCTTACTGCTCATGCTTTCACAAGCACAACGCATTTATCTAGAGTTTAGTAATGCTGTATTAGCATCTAAAGCCTCGATCAGTCCAAACCGATTTTTTGTGCATATCCGATTGGAATCCAATAATATTTAGCAAGTGTTAACAGCAAAAAAATGTCGCTGCAAAAAACAAGGTTGTGTTGTTGCAAAGTACCAATCGAGCAGAAAATTACAATATAATGGAGACATGTTGAGATTTGATACCAGCGGAGACGACAGCACGGAATAAAGCCACGCATACAAACAGTTGCGATTCCCAGTGCGGAAAGTCAATAATTTAGATCTGATTCCAATCAGATACAGAAATAATCAGATTTGGACTGACACTGTGAACCATAGACTGAGAAGTCCCACCTCATGCAAGTATTGATCTGGCAGCTCTCCATGGAAACTCTCCGATTTGCCCACCAGTTTATGGGGGACAGTGTGGCTAGGTGGCCTGATCCCAGACGGCATCAGTCCTGGAGGGGAGTAGTACCCTGACCTCTGCACCTCCTGGCGATACTTGTCATAAACCATATTAGAGGAGTTGAGCACTGGCGAACCTCTGAACCCCTCGGCTTTGGGATCTTTTGAGGTTGGTGAGCTACTGTATGGTGTAAGTCTCGGCGGTAGTGTCGATACTTCATAGGGACCTTCAGACATTGGTTTCGCTTGAGCGCTCTTGCGGACATAGGTTATGATTTTTGGCCGAACAATTTTGGGCTTCAGAGGTGGAGAAGTCTTATTAGATTCAGACTCTGCTCTAGTGGGATGTTGAGGAACGACAGGTTTTTGGAGACTGCAACTACTACTGAGAAGGCTTTTACTTGGTTGCCTCAAACCAGTATTTGCCCTCTGTAAGGTTTCACTCCGCTCCTGACTCGCTTCTCTTGTGCTAGTATATTTGGCTGGTGACGAAGGTGGCTGTTTCCGAGGTGAATAGGTGGTTTTAGGGGATGGAGGGGTCTCAGAGCGAGATGGGCTGCCCCAAGGTTTTCGCCTTTCCAAACTCGATGAACTAGATCTTCGGGTCTTTTCAAAAGATGGTTGCTTCTTGTATGGTTGGGGTTCAGAAAAATCAGAGTGGACGGGTGCACCCTTTGAGGTTAGTTTCGATGTTTTAAGAGCAATTTCAGGAGATTCCTCATTCTGGGTTTTGAGTTTATTCTTTATATCACCAGTGGAATCATGGGAGGACCTTCTGTTTTGTGAAGTAGACTGAAAATGGTCTGAGACAAGAGGTTGGCAGGATTTCTTCTCAGTCAATACTGTTTTCAAATTTAGAGCCTTTTCGTCTTTTGCATGGTACTCCTTTACATGACCTCCAGATTCTCTAAGATCGTCCTGATTGGCACTTGCTGATTCATTATTGACCTTTGTGATCCTTGCAATGCTACATTCACTCGTGCCATTTGTCAGTTGCCCTGAGCTCTCAGATATTACAAAGTCTGTAGCTAGTTGGTTTTCTTGTGCTTCTAAATGAGGTTCTTCAGGCAAGGCAGTAGAGTTCAGATTAAGATTGACACTGCCGATGTGCGTTGTACTTTTTCCTGCTTGATGATGCATGCCGTCAGTATGTAGGGTGCTCCGGGTTTTATCTGAAATTGTCAAACAGTACTGTGAGGCAAGGGTAAGGTCCTCAGAGAGAGTTCGGTATGGCTCTGAGGGAGCATGCCACGAATCAGAGCTGTGGGTTCGACCGGCGTTGTCCAGAGCACTAGCAAGACTTCCTCCAAGACTAGACATTGTGGAGAGGCAAGAAACAAAAACATCATTTTCAGAGCTAAAGTCAGTCCTGGCTATGCTGGTCACCAATTCTTTGCTAGAGGACTGAGGACAAACAGTAGACTCTTGCTCTTTTGAAGTAAACTGGGAAAACCTTTTGCTATCCTTCAGAGATTTTGCTTCGGTCCTTGTCATATCGGTGGACAGAACCCCTTTCATGTAACCTTTAGGAACATTGTTCTTTTCCTCATCCTCTATTTCCTGACTTTCCAGCATCTCAAACTCAGCCAGCTCCGGGTCATCACACGAGGAATCTGTGGCCTGAATAGTCATCTTCACCTGTTTCTCAGTGTGAGATACCACAGAGGACAGGGCATCAATTGCCCCCAGAGTTGTTTTTCCATCTCCCCTTTGGATTTCATTAGCATTGGCATCTCCATCCAGCGAATCCTCAGTATCCCTGTTGTTGTTGTTGTTATTCCTGATTTCCTTACAGCCATCTTCACTGCTGGTCCCGAAGGGTCTGGTGTGTTCATCATTCACACTCATGTTTCCTGAAGGCTCATGTGTTCTCAAGCTTTCAAGTAGAGTCTTGTTGATCCTCCCTTGAGGTCTGGGGCTCTCTCCACTTTCAAACTTAAAGCTAAAGTAAGTATTGGCATCTTTCACACTGTTGTTTGAGATACTAGTTTTGAGTAGATGACATCAGGGCTTGTCTTCAACCTGTCAAGGGGGGTAAATAACAGATTTATAAATGTCTTGACATAAAACTAGCAACAGAACTACAAATAAGAAATAATAAAAAAAAAACATATGCTGATGTTCAATATCTTTTTTTTAACTATTTCCCCACCAGTGTTTTTTTTTTTTAAGTTGCCAGCCACTGCCAGCATTTTTTATTATTTTCACCAAATTTTCATGGCCTCCAGAATATTTTGTTGTATGAATATCTGAACATACAATATATCAAAAGAAAGAACAGAGCCTCTGATTCAAAACACAAAAACTGTTTTATTCTAGCTTAATGCAATGCATGTGGGTAAGTTTCATAAAAAAAAGCAAAATTTTGAGCAAATAGTTGAGGATATAGCATTTTTGGTGGAGTAGATCGAGTGCATCAACAAATCTAATGCTTGCACAGTCCTATACCTCGTCCTGGGTCGACATTTCATTCAGTAACATTAGGCAGTTTTTATTTACATGCTGTTTAATGTTGATGATCACGTTATTTTACATATGCACCTGTGTTTTGATCAGGAGATACTCTTTCAGAATGTGTGTCACCAGAAAGCCGGAAATTTCCGTCAATGGTGGGAAAAGAGTTAAAGCCATAAACAGATGTATTAGTAGTATGTTAACAATTATGACCCACAAAGCCTCTCTTTGTGCAGAAACGCTTTATGTTTCCAATAAAATGAAATAATATTATAATTAAGATCAATTTATAATCTGCACATTTGTAAATTGATGTGGTGTACTTTAATTTCTTGTCAATGTACACTTGCATTTCATTCAACATGATCAAACACTGGCATCTTCTCAGATCAGCTGACAATGTAAAGGATCAGCGCTGAATTAAAAGTATAAAGCATATTGTTTTATTAAAAGGATTTTTAAGGTGAAAAGACTCCCTAGCAAAACACATCCCCTAATGCGTCGGTCAAATGGGATTAAGTGTAATATTTTATCCAGATCATGAAATTCTTTCATACAGAATGATATACATGCTGATAATTCTCCACGCAGTGAGAAAACACGCTCGCGCTCATTTCTCCCTAGCAACAAGAACAGAACTTCAACCGTAGGAGGTCATTCCCTGAGGTAACTGCAAACAAATGTTCTCAACAGGAACACACTTCTCCAGGAAAACAGTAACTGATTTTGTAAAGGATAAATAATAGATGAAAGCATCTAAATTAGCCAATGATGTATCTTAATAGATGCCACGCTGAAGAACGACTATGGCTAATTACCATTATACTATCTATGATGATATATTGTAAATTTGACATTACTACATACACTCACCAGCCACTTTATTAGGTACACCTGTCCAACTGCTCGTTAACACTTAATTTCTAAGCAGCCAATCACATGGCGGCAACTCAGTGCATTTAGGCATGTAGACATGGTCAAGACAATCTCCTGCAGTTCAAACCAAGCATCAGTATGGGGAAGAAAGGTGATTTGAGTGACTTTGAACGTGGCATGATTGTTGGTGCCAGAAGGGCTGGTCTGAGTATTTCAGAAACTGCTAATCTACTGGGATTTTCACGCACAACCATCTCTAGGGTTTACAGAGAATGGTCCGAAAAAGAAAAAACATCCAGTGAGGCGGCAGTTCTGTGGGCGGAAATGCCTTGTTGATGCCAGAGGTCAGAGGAGAATGGCCAGACTGGTTCGAGCTGATAGAAGGGCAACAGTGACTGAAATAACCACTCGTTACAACCGAGGTATGCAGCAAAGCATTTGTGAAGCCACAACACGCACAACCTTGAGGCGGATGGGCTACAACAGCAGAAGACTCCACCGGGTACCACTCATCTCCACTACAAATAGGAAAAAGAGGCTACAATTTGCAAGAGCTCACCAAAATTGAACAGTTGAAGACTGGAAAAATGTTGCCTGGTCTGATGAGTCTCGATTTCTGTTGAGACATTCAGATGTTAGAGTCAGAATTTGGCGTAAACAGAATGAGAACATGGAACCATCATGCCTTGTTACCACTGTGCAGGCTGGTGGTGGTGGTGTAATGGTGTGGGGGATGTTTTCCTGGCACACTTTAGGCCCCTTAGTGCCAATTGGGCATCGTTTAAATGCCACGGCCTACCTGAGCATTGTTTCTGACCATGTCCATCCCTTTATGGCCACCATGTACCCATCCTCTGATGGCTACTTCCACCATGTCACAAAGCTCTAATCATTTCAAATTGGTTTCTTGAACATGACAATGAGTTCACTGTACTAAAATGGCCTCCACAGTCACCAGATCTCAACCCAATAGAGCATCTTTGGGATGTGGTGGAACGGGAGATTCGCATCATGGATGTGCAGCCGACAAATCTGCGGCAACTGTGTGATGCCATCATGTCAATATGGACCAAACTCCCTGAGGAATGCTTCCAGCACCTTGTTGAATCTATGCCACGAAGAATTGAGGCAGTTCTGAAGGCAAAAGGGGGTCCAACCCGTTACTAGCATGGGGTACCTAATAAAGTGGCCGGTGAGTGTATAAATATATTACCCAAACATTAATCACAGTGAATGCTGCTTTTATAAACTAATAACAGAAAACAATCTGTCACCTAAACCTATCATAAGACAGTCTGCTTGGTTGGCTGCTGCCAAACCTACAGTAATATAAGAGAAAAATAAAACATAAAATATATTTTGTGCGTTTCTCTTTCTTGGCATGGTCCACTTTCTTGACCCACTTTGTGCATCTGCCGATTTTGTGCATCTGCACTCAATCATTACGGTTTACTTTCTGTCATAATGATGTCTTATCTTTCTATGCTTTAAAAAATAACTGCAGATGAATAAACAACAGATGAAATGGTAGCTTTCTAAGGGTGACAATTTCCAGGAATAAAGCCCTATACAAACCCTTATTATTTTTAAATGAATTTTCTGTTGTTGTTTTTAAGGAAAGTGTCCCTTTCAGTCCTTTTTGACTCTCAGTTTGTCCTATTACTTTCATTTAATAAGCAAACCATGTAATTAACGCAACATTATAAGTGTTTATGACAGTAAAGTAAAGGACATACACAGTAAAGGACCTCCATTCCCCAATGAGCAACTGTTTAGTGACATGCTCATGCTAAATGTTACAGAATATTTGAAACAGTGACTGTCGAGCTGTCAGAGACAATGACTAACTGTCACACACTGATCGTCTGCATGAGGGTTTGTCAGTCGCATGTGACGAGTCACATCATCGTCAGGTCTGCAGGTCATAGTAACACAGCAGTGTATGACAGCAAGAGAAACCCTGCATATCACCACGGAGTCTGGAGCTCAATTATTAACAAGAGGAAGGTAAACAGTAATAGGGAATGGAAACAACTAGTGTCGGGGAAGCTACTTTGAAAATGCAGCGTTAAGCAACAAGCAACTCAAAAGCCCTCGGAGCAGAGACACGTTTATCTGGTGCACAGAAACCGAGAATCTCCCAATTAGGCTGACAGCATTAAACTGAATTGAACCCCTCCACCTCCCCCAGCTCCACCTGCCTAGATGTGCAACAGGATTTATGTATGTATGTCTATTCATCCAGCACCAGCATATCTTACATATTACTAATCTTAACCAACAGCAGAAGCAGATCTAGTCCACCAAGACCAAATGCATTAACACTGCCACATTCAATAACATGCTAAAACTATTCCGAGAGTTGTCATGATTAACATATATTATACTGATTTGTAAATACAACATAAATGCTGCACAGAATCACTTAAACCAAACAATTTGAAAATATTTAACTTCCCAATGCCCAACTCTACACAGCCACACCTAAACACTCTTTCAAACCAAAACACACACACACACACACACACACACACACACCAAACCATCTACTTGACCTACTTTCATAGAAAGGCCTCAGAAGTCCTCAAGTTAAAATGTTCAAAGACCTCACAGCCCAACACTAGTGGGACATTTGAGCTTTTAAGTACAGATAGATATGAGTTTTGGATATAAACTTTAATTATTATAGAGAGTACATAGTGCAGAGTTTTGATGCACAATATATTTAACTTTTCTTTTTTAAAGCATTTTAAATCTACGATAGAAATCAAGGAATGCATCCTAATGAATGGTTAATGAAAAATTGGACTTTATACTGAAATATAATACAATTATATTATAATCAAGTAAGATGACCTGAAAAAGTGGCATTTAAAGGGAAGAGGTTTCCTCCTGGCTGATAGATGTGGAGCTGATGGTGAACAGACGAGAGAACACAGCGATGGCTTTGTTTCCACTATGTTCAAGTGAGCATGCATGATGAACTCCTGCTCAGTCCTTCTCTGTGGCGGATTGTGATTTATTACCGCAAACCAATCTCACTACTGTAGAACAACACAGTACAAAAAAAAGAAAAAAAAAGGCCACACAGAGTGCGATAATGCATTTGTAACTGTAAGTGTAACCAGATTGATAAATTAGCTTCTAATGACAGCAGAACATTTAAATGCAGAATTGGCATTTACTGTAGATGTTCTGTTCAGAGCAGTAATGTTTGACAGAGTCCTATAGCCAGAATCAGATATAGAAACAAATGAATCTTCCTGAGAGTTCAGGCACACACACACACACACACAATCCCGCATGCAGTTTCAGCAGCACGAGCCCTGCAGTGATTCTGCCAGAAACACACACATGCTCTCATGATACACTAATGCCTCAGTATTTCAACATAATGCACAGATGTGAACAAACTTTTTGAACATTTTTATGATTTTTTAAAATAATTTCAAACTACATCAGCTATACTGATGTAGTTCTAAATGTTTTTAACCAAATCTAAATCTGTCTATCTATCTATCTATCTATCTATCTATCTATCTATCTATCTATCTATCTATCTATCTATCTATCTATCTATCTATCTATCTATCTATCTATCTATCTATCTATCTATCTATCTATCTATCTATCTATCTATCTATCATCTATCTGTCTGTCTGTCTGTCTGTCTGTCTGTCTGTCTATCTATCTATCTATCTATCTATCATCTATCTATCTGTCTGTCTGTCTGTCTATATATATATCTGTCTGTCTGTCTGTCTGTCTATCTTTCTATCTGTCTATCTATCTATCTATCTATCTATCTATCTATCATCTATCTATCTATCTATCTATCTATCTATCTATCTATCTATCTATCTATCTATCTATCTATCTATCTGTCTGTCTGTCTATCTTTCTATCTGTCTATCTATCTATCTATCTATCTATCTATCTATCTATCTATCTATCTATCTGTCTGTCTGTCTGTCTGTCTATATATCTATCTGTCTGTCTGTCTGTCTATCTATCTATCTATCTATCTATCTATCTATCTATCTATCTATCTATCTATCTATCTATCTATCTATCTATCTATCTATCTATCTATCTATCTATCTATCTATCTATCTGTCTGTCTGTCTGTCTGTCTGTCTATATATCTATCTGTCTGTCTGTCTATCTATCTATCTATCTATCTATCTATCTATCTATCTATCTATCTATCTATCTATCTATCTATCTATCTATCTATCTATCTATCTATCTATCTATCTATCTATCTATCTATCTATCTATCTATCTATCTATCTATCTGTCTGTCTGTCTATATATCTATCTGTCTGTCTGTCTATCTATCTATCTATCTATCTATCTATCTATCTATCTATCTATCTATCTATCTATCTATCTATCTATCTATCTATCTATCTATCTGTCTGTCTGTCTGTCTGTCTGTCTGTCTGTCTGTCTGTCTGTCTGTCTGTCTATCTATCTATCTATCTATCTATCTATCTATCTATCTATCTATCTATCTATCTGAATCTGTGCAATTAATCTTCACATTGCAGTGAAAACAAGCGAGTTAACCATACATCAGTTAATAACCCTGCCATGTTTTGCTGTTAACACGCGTACACGACTCGAGTGAAGGAAGTGAAGAGAGCGAGATGGTTGACAGACAGACAGTTCTCCTCTTGACTGATGCAGTTTCTGTCGCAGACACGAAGTATAAATAAAACACTCACAGAATGTCCCTCAAGGCGTCAGCATGAAACCCACGAGCAACGGTCCTGTCTTTGTTACTTCTCTACCTCCTTGTTTTTTCCTCTTTCATGACACTGTAACACGCTCAGAGCTACCGACAGTAATGCGGCCGGCAGCGGGACGTTCCAGAGCCAGATTGATGTCATAGTCCTTCAGATGCATGAAATTCCCCTCCTTTCCCATGAAGCATTCAGAGCATATCCACTGCACCTGTTCACTAACCAGCTAACCTGGATTAGAGAAACACGTTACATCTGTCTTTCTTTGTGTGTGTGCGTCTATTGCAGACCCTTTTCTCCAGCATCTCTACATGGAAGCAGCGATTTCCACTCTCAGATCTGAAGCGCTGATTAAATATTAACATCCAAATGAAACCGGAGGAAACGCCTCCTTTCCCTTTCAAGAGCAAACCTCTCAGCAGCTTTGTGTGAGGGGGGTATTTTATACAAATGTTCAAAGTATTTTGAATGCTCAATTTCGGAACCTGATACTGTCCACCAAAACCAAAGGCAGAAAGTGCTGTGTGTTAGGACGCAGACTGAGGAAGTGTTTTACTCGTGCGGTCTGAAGCAAACGTGCTCTGCGGACAGAATGAGAATAGCTGACTCAGAACTGATCCAAAAAGTTAGCGTTCTTCAATGGCGCACACTTAACAGCTTACGCACATGATGCAGGGAAACGTGATGGAGAGTTTGTATTTTTGGCACAATCACTGCATCTTTAATAAATTCATGCTTATTGTCTTAAATAAAGATGAATTTTAAGGCTGTCAATCAATTTTCCTCGATATAACACTTTCTTAAAAAAAATGCATCAGTTGAAAGAAACAGAAAACGTTAAAAAAAGACGGAAAAAAGGGTCAATTTCATAGTGTACAGAACAAAACAGGAAATAAAATCATTGAAATAACCATTATGGAATATTAATATTGTTATGTATTTACATTACTTAAATATAACATGTTAATAACTTTATTAATAACACACACACACACACACATTATATATATATATTAGGGCTGTCAAATGATTAATCGTGATTAATCACATCCAAAATAAAAGTTTTTTTAATATATGTGGGTGCACTGTGTATAATTATTTTATATATATAAATACACACACATGCTTGTATATATTTAAGAAATATTTTCATGTATATACTGTATATAGATTTATATATAATTTATATTATATATAAATATAAATATTTTATATATAAATAATATTTTTTTCTTAAATATACATGCATGTGTGTGTATTTATATATATACAAAATAATTATACACAGTGCACCCACATATATTATGTAAAAAAAACTTTTATTTTGGATGTGATTAATCACGATTAATCATTTGACAGCCCTAATATATATATATGAATTAATATTATTACAATTAATAAGAAGCCTGATTGTTATTATTATTATAATAAACTAACAACTACACAATCATACAAGCATATTATCTTTCTTTATTATAGATAATATAGGCTATAAATAATAAACATCATGGCAATATCATTAATAATGTAATAGTTATTATTCATATCACATTAGCATTACTTTATAGTAACGACATTAATATATTCTATAAACTTGTTTTATAAAATACAAATTATGTATATATTATATTAATTGTATAATGCATAAGATTATTGTTGTTATTATTACTGATACACTCATATTACACATTAGTACAAGCAAATTAATGTACAACAATATTTTAGTATAACTGAATATTATATAAATGTTGCATTTATTTAATATTATGTAACTAGTATATTAATGCACAGCAATATTTTAATATAATTGTATATTTATATAAATATTGCATTTAATATGTAACTAGTATATTTAGAATAAATCAGATTATAACTAATATAAACACACAATCACGAAAAATAATGATAATAATAACAGACTTGGTCAACATCATACATAAATATGCATTCACAAATAGTGAATTAAAGCATTCGCTCATTCATTCATTCAGTGTCTGCGTGCTAAAATAAAACACACTGGCAGATTCGGCCGCAGGATGAACAGCATGTGATATAAGCACACACACACACACACTGAGTTCTGCTGCAGATACACACGACAGCAGGTGGATGTGATGCTCTCAGTGAGCGCCATCACATTATTCACAAACACACACACACACACACACACACACACACACACACACACACACACACACACACACACACAGTCTTACCTGCAGATCTTCAGACGCAGAGGACGAGTGTTTGACATCGCCAGGATCAGGATCAGGATCCGCCTCGATCAGGCTGAGAGATGCGGAGAGAGCCAGGCGTGCACGATACGATGATGATGATGATCACAGGAATGAACGGTGAGAGATGAAGTGTCGAACTATGGCTGTGTTCCAAAACCTACCGAGTTTCCTACCTAGACAACATTTGAGGGCAATATTATGTTGATTTTGTCACGTTGTTTCTCTAATTTAGCACTTTTGGAGAAAATGTCAGGCGCATTTATGATGTCCAAAAAATCTGCTGTCTCGGAACGGCGCTTGTGATGCCTACAATGCTGTCTAGGTAGGAACACAAGGTTTTAAGCCACAGTCTAGGCTATTTGTAAAATGTGCATCGAGCGCCACTCACAGGCAGGCACGCGCACTAAACATGTCTTGCACAGACTTTTAACTCGCGTAAATCTTTTTTTGTTTTCTGGTGGGAAAAAAAAGCATATAATATACCCTACATCAAATACAGATTTGTTGGGAAAATATTGCCCTTTTTACTTTAGATATTAGGCAAATTCAAATTTTAAATATGATGTTTAAATGTAGGCCTAAACATTCTGTATAAGCGCGCGCTGCGACCTTTCGATTTCGACTACGTCAGAATATGACGCTAGGGAAGACCTTTTTATTTTTTTTATTTTTTTTATTAAACTTCAAACAAACAAAGTTAATGTACAGTCAGAACTACAATAATGCACATAGCCTACATAAAAACACATACAGCCAGGGGGTAGTGGCTACTCATTATGTAAATATATTAAAGGACTTATAGAGTTTTAATTGCTTTCTTATTATGTGAATGAAAAATAGTCTTGTTATATATTTTAAGTTCTTTTTCAAAAACAAAAAACAAAGGTTGGATTTTACTGTACTTTATATATGTTCAATTTAATTCAAATAAAATGTTTTTTAAACAAAGAAAAGTGGGGTCTTCCTCCTAAATACTGAAGCCTGATTGAAATGTTCTACGTCAAATTAGAAACGGGAACGTACTGTATGGGAAGCCAACACACCAAGTGTGTGTGTCAAAACCTCGCAGTGTTACAGAACTCGTGTATGGCAGCGCAGGGAAGATGTGTTTTTGGAACGGTCCGCGTGTCGTCACTCACAGTGAGAATCAATGATGCCACGACATTGCATAGCTTCTGGGTCTAACCTTTCACTGGTGAGAATGAGAATGTGTTGGTTTGTGTTTTTATATGTATCAACTCAATATTACAGGTTTTTATACTGTGGTAACTTTTTATTGTCCCGTTGAAGTCTATTGCAGATATACACTCACCGGCCACTTTATTAGGTACCCCATGCTAGTAACGGGTTGGACCCCCTTTTGCCTTCAGAACTGCCTCAATTCTTCGTGGCATAGATTCAACAAGGTGCTGGAAGCATTCCTCAGGGAGTTTGGTCCATATTGACATGATGGCATCACACAGTTGCCGCAGATTTGTCGGCTGCACATCCATGATGCGAATCTCCCGTTCCACCACATCCCAAAGATGCTCTATTGGGTTGAGATCTGGTGACTGTGGAGGCCATTTTAGTACAGTGAACTCATTGTCATGTTCAAGAAACCAATTTGAAATGATTAGAGCTTTGTGACATGGTGGAAGTAGCCATCAGAGGATGGGTACATGGTGGCCATAAAGGGATGGACATGGTCAGAAACAATGCTCAGGTAGGCCGTGGCATTTAAACGATGCCCAATTGGCACTAAGGGGCCTAAAGTGTGCCAGGAAAACATCCCCCACACCATTACACCACCACCACCAGCCTGCACAGTGGTAACAAGGCATGATGGTTCCATGTTCTCATTCTGTTTACGCCAAATTCTGACTGTAACATCTGAATGTCTCAACAGAAATCGAGACTCATCAGACCAGGCAACATTTTTCCAGTCTTCAACTGTTCAATTTTGGTGAGCTCTTGCAAATTGTAGCCTCTTTTTCCTATTTGTAGTGGAGATGAGTGGTACCCGGTGGAGTCTTCTGCTGTTGTAGCCCATCCGCCTCAAGGTTGTGCGTGTTGTGTCTTCACAAATGCTTTGCTGCATACCTCGGTTGTAACGAGTGGTTATTTCAGTCACTGTTGCCCTTCTATCAGCTCGAACCAGTCTGGCCATTCTCCTCTGACCTCTGGCATCAACAAGGCATTTCCGCCCACAGAACTGCTGCTCACTGGATGTTTTTTCTTTTTCGGACCATTCTCTGTAAACCCTAGAGATGGTTGTGCGTGAAAATCCCAGTAGATTAGCAGTTTCTGAAATACTCAGACCAGCCCTTCTGGCACCAACAATCATGCCACGTTCAAAGTCACTCAAATCAACTTTCTTCCCCATACTGATGCTTGGTTTGAACTGCAGGAGATTGTCTTGACCATGTCTACATGCCTAAATGCACTGAGTTGCCGCCATGTGATTGGCTGCTTAGAAATTAAGTGTTAACGAGCAGTTGGACAGGTGTACCTAATAAAGTGGCCGGTGAGTGTAGATATTCATGCGTCTAACTACGGGTGCAGAACTTGGTCTTGAGTGTCATGTGTATCGGTGTTTTGGACATTCGAATGGCGGACGCTTACGTATAGCGACACAAAGAAACATACACTAATATGTTTGGTTTCTATGTTTATCTATGTAACGGAGAACATGGCGTGAACAGCATGGCAAATGGGGCGGAGCTACACGTATCACCCACAATCTGTCTTATTGCTTAACAGTAATGATGTGGGAAAGTTTTCATTTCCGCTGCATCGCTGCATGGTGAGTTGACGAGTATGTTGTTTAATTTTTAATTACAATTTTACATTCCTTAAGTTTTACAAAGGCATCAACATCATTGCTTTTCCGGCTCCGCACTGACCAATGAGACGAGTTATGGGCGGAGCCAGTTTTGTATGATGTTTGCGCTGTGCTGTCCATTGGGTGGTGCCAGCAAACCACAGACAGTAAAAGAAATGGACACAGCGACCCCATAGATTTCAACAGAGAAAAGTGAAGTCAATTAGAAGCACTCACTTCCTGATGGCTGAGCGACTGCGCAGACTCACACTGAGCTGGACGACGTATATGTGACGTGAGCAACCTGTCTGACAGTTGTACGTCTTCTAGTAGCTGTGCCAAGAGGAATCTGAATCATTCCCTTCCGAATCTTGCAGAGCCGGAGATCGTGAGTATTAGCTGTTCATGAGCAGTAGCAGGATCAACTTTATGACTCTCTATGGGCTTCTCCCTGGACTTTATGCCTCCACGTCCACCCGATTGCGCGCAAGCTTCTACTTCTGTCAATACGGAAATTTTTCTCTACTGTGCGACAGAGAGTCGCGTGTTATGATGCAATCGTTAGCCTATTTTTACAAAAAGTGCTTCTACGGGGCCATAACGTATAAGATACAAAATAATGGAGCCTTTTATACATTGTCGTGTTTCTTTAGAAATAAACAATGGACAAATGGAGTCTTTAAACGACTCAGATGTAAAGTTATTCGCTGTCAAAGTGACGCCAAAATTAATGGGAGTCAATGGAATGGTAACAGCAGGTGAAGGCTTGCTAGCCAATGGCGGCCCTCGGGGAGACTTCAGTTTCCGGCTGGTGGATTACCCTCTTGTAGCAAACACATCTTTCCTGCTGTGTTGAGTTGCAAACTCTGTAACACCGCAGTTTCGTCCCACTTTTGGTGTATTTGGTTTTCCATAGGAACGTCCCCTATAATGCGGCGCCGAACAGCATTTCCTCTGAATCTTTCGCATTCATTCAAAAACTCAAGCCTTCGCCATTGGCTCATCGCCAAAAGATGATAAATTGGGGCGGCTGTGGCTCAGTGGTTCATGTAGGTTGTCTACAAACCAGAAGGTTGATGGTTCAATCCTTGGTTCCACCTGACCAAGTCTCGAGGTGTCCATGAGAAAGACACCTAACCCCAGCTGTGTATGAATGAGTGGGTGAATGTGAGGCAAAATGTAAAGCGCTTTGGTGGCCATTGGGTCTGTGAAAGCGCTGTATAAATGCAGTCCATTTACCATAATGGAATATGCTGCACAGATTTCCCCTTCTGCAAATGAAAATGCCTCATTTGATCTGCGCAAGACCTGTCAAGGACACAAACTGTGCGTCTTCTGATTGGGCCACGCCCACGCGGAAGCCGCCATTTTGGGCCCTAATATAAACAGCCTAATATAATAATTGGTTCAAAGAACGTATCAAAAGCAAGTCATTTTATGGTTTTATTGAACAACAATACAATGTTAAAATACATAATGTAATATACATAATATAAAAAATCATCTTGTGTACGTGACTTATAACAAATGCCTGCAGAGGGCGCCAACGGCCTGGTGATTGATGTTATTACACTTTACAGCATGATCAAATCCTTGTTTAATATTGGCCAAATAAGATTTAATTAAAAAATCTTTAATATTTGGCCACTTCTTTGCGATAGAAATGCTACAGCCACTACAGACATTTCTTGAACAAGAACATGTGGACATCAAAACATGCAAACATGAGCGTGGGTTTGAACTTTTATTTTGAAATCGCGGTGAACAACAATTTGCATATTGATCTATAGAGTGGTGCAGGTATGACATCACTTTGTAATGCAGAAGCGAGTTAGCATTTTAGCACTTCCGGTTCCTTCGTCCCGAAGTCAATGAGTTTTTGGAATGGGTTTTTGGTTAAATGGCTGAAATAAGGTCTGTGGTTAACACAAGCTCAAGACACTTTCATGTTTTATTCTACAACATAAAATACACCAGTATTGGGGTACACTTGTGATTTTTTGAAGCGGTTACACAGTGGTTAGGCAGTTGCTAGCAAATGGCTAAATGTGACTACAGAGGCTGTCGAGGAGATTAAACGTCATCACACCGAACAGATAAACTCAGTCCGCTTTTACAGCATCGTTATTCTTATAATTGTGCTCTTATAAACGATTCTAACTCAAACGTTCAGGGAAAATGTTCTTGAT